ACACGGAATCAACAAGCTGGTCTATGATGAGGGCCTTTTCTTGTTAAGGTTTATAATTAAAACATCGACGATACGTTCATGATATACTTCTCCCGAAGCCGAAAAATTCGATTGCACTTACATATATCTACTTTTAGGTCAAATGTTTTAGTTATTCCTTGTGTGGACTTCCTATAAACGTAATCCTAAATCTTCCACTCACGGCGTACACCAGATAAAAAGCACATGCAAAGAACCAAGACAAATCCAAAAGCTATAAAAGTCTTTATCAAAATCCATAAGCGGGATCACGATCCAGCCAACCCCTGCGATGTCATCTTACAGGCACAAGTCTGGTGCTCAGAAAAGGCAGGAAAAAAGATGCGAGAAAAAGAAGCAAAAAAAGCCTCTCGCACATCGTTTGAGGTAGGTGCTTACAAAAGAGACAAGGAAGGTGATTCAACTTTAAATAAACCTGGTGAAAGCTCTGTTCAAAGCACTGCTGAAGAAGAAGAAGACAGAAACGGCTTGGCTGCTTCGGTAGTCCATGACACCACAGAAAGTAGAGAAAGCACTACTGATTCATCATTAAATCAAGATACTGTTCATAGTGGATCATCTAGTTTTGATGTCGGCACATTGACCGGATTTCCAACGATAAAGGAGTTAGAAAAGGTTGTTAAAACTGGTCATTTGCCTCATCCTCCAGAGTTTCCCAAAGATTGCGACGGCCACAAATTTCCAACAACGGTCCTAAATGTGAAGCAGCAAAATGGGGAGGTAGTAAGAAGAAGCTGGCTTGTTTTCAGTCCTACAAAGGCTGCACTCTATTTTTTGCCATGCAGGCTGTTTGGGCACACTATTAATAATGGTTCAAAATCAAAATTGGCTTCTCCTGATGGTTGGGGAGTGAACGACAGCTGGAAAAGATTGTGGGAAAAGATTAAGGATTTCGCCATGAGGAAAGCAAGAAAAGCAGTTTTTTAAACATTAAATTAACTCTGATTTTTAAACTGATTTGTTTTACTGATTTGTTTTATATAGTCACTAATTACATGTTCTGTTAAAGACCTTAAAATACAAAATGAAGTGTTTCAGGGGCGTTGATTTCAAAATTCATGCCTTTTACAGTCCATCTAACTGCATTGCTAAGGGCGTAACCCAAAAAAGGTTTTTGCAGCCTTCGACTGTGGGGCCCCATGACAGTCCCAGCCCTGGGGCCCGGCCCGTCTCTCGACGGCCCTGCATACATGTACGATCAGTTAGAATTTTAGCGCTCGAAGTTTATAAAACACTTAACAACCTTAATCCTGTTTTCATGAAAGACTATTTTGTACCCAAAACAACAGATCATAACCTTCGACTCAAAAACCCCCCTTGGCATTCAAAAAGCCAGAACTACCACTAATGGTATCAGATCATTAAATTTTTAAGGGCCTTAAATCTGGAACTCACTCCCGGAATCAATAAAGACAGCACAAAATACTAGACAATTTACGAATTTAATCAAAACTTGATTCTTGAAAACAAGTTCGCATGTTGCAGTAAATGAACTGTCTTATGCAATCCTTGAAATTGCTTAATGTTAGTCTTAATTGGTGTATATTCACTATTGTAAAAACTAACATTAAATAATCTACAATACAATAAAATGCTTTGCACTTATTAGAATCGCTGTCTACCACCAAGACAAAGTATTTTATCTTGATACCAACAAGGATAGGACAGGATCATCGATAAAAGATAACTAGAAACTTTTTGACTCTAAACATTTTTTTCCTGGCAGTTTCATTTCCTTCAACAACTAATATTCTCTTTTTCTAACGTAATTATAACGTTTTTGAGAGTTCAGTGTTTACAAATACATCTTGTGAGCCAGGTTTAGGCCAAAGTAAAGACAAAACTATGTCCTATATCTATATCCTATGCCATGCCAGCACGCATTCCAAAGATCATACAATGGTTTATAAATGGCGATTGTTTTTTTTAAAAGCTGCCCCTCGTATAGTGCAACGTCTGTACTATTCAACTTGTAACACACAACTTGGGCAATGATTCGGTTTCTCAGGGGCGGCGTCAAGAAATTTAAAGTAAGGGGGCTCGAGTTGATAGCATTATTTGACTAAATAACCAAATTTTGAAAAGGGACAAAAAAGCTTCACGCATGATATGGTATGCCTATGATTTTATGGTGCATTTTTTCTTGCAATCTTTTAAAACCTTTTATTATTTTTAAGGCAAGCTTTTGTTACGTTTGATTGATGCCAGTCTTAAGTGGAATTCAATACTTGTCACCCTATAGACCTCGGCTTCTATTCTTTTTAAATTTAGCAATATAAGGATTTGTTGCACTACTCTTTTTTTTATTTCTTTTTTATTATTTTCAAATTTTACTTGAAAATAATTTTTCCAAAAGGGTGAGGGCTGAAGCCCCCAGTCCCCTTTGGTTTCTTTGATCGAATTCCCATGTTCTATAGCTTCTAAAAATTTGAATAGTTAATAGGATAAAAGGATAGTAATGAAACTGCAATCAATGGCATATTCTAAAGTACGTTAAGCACAATAACTTACAGAATGGTAGACTACATTTCTTTCACTTTTAAGATAAGAAATTGTATTTCGTTCTGCAGAAAAGTAGGGGACATGCTCTAGCTCCCAGTTTAGCTTGCCATAAGTGTAAACATTGAAACGTAGTTTAAAGTTGGATTTTGGCACCCTTTTGGATTGTGACACCCTTTTGGATTGTAACACCCGTTTGGATCGTGGCATTTTTGTCAAGCCAAAGGCAAAACTTTTTCAGCATCAGTTGTTCATTACCGTAATAAATGGTAGGTACATATGTATATATAAATATATCTATGTAAAATTGTCTAAAAGCCTTTATGTTTGCGACCATGCCCTAAGCAATTTTTGCGGTCATTTTCTTGCAATCGTTTGAATTTTTTTGCTATTTTAAAGCATGCTTTTATTACATTTGATTAGTTTCAGTCTTAAAATGGAATTCATAGCTTTATGAGGCCCCACAGACCTTGGCTTATTCATTGGAGGTTAAGAAAAAAAAGAATTTATCGGACTATTTTTTTCTTCGACTTCTTTTATTTCATTGTTTCTATTGTTTAAAAAAACTTTTTTGCACAAAAAGTGGTGGGGGGGGGGGGGTTTGAAGCCCTCAGCCTCCCCTCTGGTGCCGCTCATTTTAAAGCATACTGAAGCTTTGCGTCTTACATTCTTCAGAGTATGAAACGTCAAAACAAAGATCAAACATCTACGCTAGGAAATACATATATCCAGTTGTGGATCGAAAAAGGTCAATCAGAAATGCAAACACATCACTTTTGAGTCTGCCAAATCAGGGCAGTCAGTGCTGCTTGCCTATTGAAAATATTACCCATTGTTTTCAAGTGAAAACAAACTCCTTCTGTCTACAAAATAGTAGGTTTTTTCACGTTTATGTAGATAGATCCTAAAGCTACTAGATGGAACGACACCGGGCTTTACCATTATATATCTACCAAAATATAAATATATATGTTTATATTTATTCAATCTCCAGACAGTAATGTTTCGCCCTTTGTGGGCTCATCAGTGCAGCACAGAGCTTGTCTGAAACATTTGTTTATATTTATAAATATTTATGTTTTATTATCTACCAATATATATGTATGTATTATATATAGATATAATGCATGGTAAACTGCCATGAGCACGACTATCTATCGAAACTAATAGGCAAACTCAGCGTTTTATAAATATATATGTATATCTAAATACTTGGTTTAAGGGGCCGCAAACATATCGATTTTTCCCCCAACAACGTCGTTTGGCGTTTTCGTTTAAACCAGAAAATGACAAACTGCGGACTATCTATTAGACCCCCCTCCCTCCCTCCGGAAAGAAACAAAGAATTCGTTCTTATAGCGTTGTATATTATATTTTCAAGATTGTCTTGCTTCCGCTACGAGCATTGCTTCTGGAGGGCTTTGTTGCTCCAATAATTCTCACGAGAACCGCATTGCTCAAAGATTTTGCTGCTCAAATGTTGCTCTAGGATTATATTGTTTCAATATTTCTAGCAACGGTATTGCTCAAACTTTTCTCGAGGATTGTGTTAGTCAAAACTCAAATATATTTTAAGGATCGTAATTCGTATTGCTTGTTGCGAGTCTTAGGTAAGTAGACTCATGTTTCAGCCAGTGAATATTCATTAGAAATCGATAATGTTTTATTGTTTATCGAGAGCATTGAATGCATTTTCTTGGACCGGTTACTGGAACGATAAAGCTTCATTGTTCGATAACAAAAGCAATTTCTTGTTGACTTAGTAATGCTAAAGTCTTTGTCTTGAATTTATTAAACATTTTCTAAAGTAAAATTTACGGAATGGCAATAAAGCAAATAGTTCATTGTTAAAGCTTTACTTAAGTTTTAGCAGCATTCAAGATTCGATCATTTACATGTAAACAGTAACATAATGAATTTGAATGTTGTTACTTTATCAAGTTGACGATAATCTGTTGCTGATTAATCTTTTGGGTAAATGTTTTTTACCTCGTTAAGTATATGACTTTGCGAGAAAACTTGCAGCAACATGTATTTTTCATATCAAAGATTCGCTTACAATTAAAATATTAATGTTTCATTGAAAGGCTTCATTTTTAAGGTAATCTCTGTTTTGTTATTTGCTTGTAAGAAAGCACCGGAAATCCTTCTTCTTCTTAATTTAAACTATTTCACCAGTCTATATTGTCCTGTCAAAAAGTGAAATATCATGTTATCCTAAAAGAAATTTCCGTTGCTGTATAGCCATAAAAAGGTCGCAAGAGGAGGCAATTGTTTCTCCCCACAAAGAGTAAACGGCATTAATATTTTTTAATTTTCTTAGAGGGCGTAAAACAGGCAATAACAAAACTTGAATAGTCGAAACCTTAAATAATAGCATCCAGTTTATGGTTACTGAAAGTGTATGGTATTGTTTATATAGCCAATGAGATCCTTCGATGCAATACATGTGTAATAACCATGCGCTATAATATTGCGCGTGATAAACTAACGGTCAATATTGATCAATAATAATCTAGTTATTCTAAACTGCGATCGAAGGCAATAGTTGACCTGGCGAATTTAACATTATGCCCTTGAAAAGAACGACCAAGAGTCATTGAATAGTGAAGCAACGTTCAGGTAATACTCTTCAATTTGGAAATATTGATGTTGTATTGTGCGAATATTGTTTTTATCTTCAGTGATATTTGCTAATGTATCGTATCACAATTTAGGCCCAATAATGGAGAACAAGTACGTTATCAGCCAAGCTGCAACTGCATATGGCCCAGAGTCTGTCATTGATGAAAGCAAATCAGATGTTCCAGTTAATATGGGTTCGGATGCTCTAACAGCCCCCACAAGAAGACAAATGAATTCAGTTAAAAATCAATTTGAGGGTAAGTTTTCGTTTCAGCAATTTTGCATTGTGTAGAGTATAATTGTGCACGCGAAGCGAGCGTGGACTTAAGTGGATAGCGCGTGGTATTTTATAATAAATCTGCTTTATCCAACTGAAACTTTCCGGTGGGTTTAAGCGGACAAGGTTTTATTGTCCCGTTCAATTTATTTTCATCGGTTCTTTTCTTGGAATGAAGCAGCTGCCCTTTGCATTGGTTGGTCACCTGTGTATGTACACATTGTACGGTGAAAGAAAAATAGTTGGTTATTGCGGTTACTCGGCGGTTAAGTACAGCCCCGATGAAAATTCTATGGATAAGTGTGTTGCTGTATTCGCTATATACATGTAAATTCGTTTGGAAATAGTTTTTATTCCTTTACAATAGAAAAATTATTGTATCTGCAATCTATCAATATCAGGGCAAGCTTGGATAGGAGACTACCCATACTGCATTCTCTGTGTTTTGCGCGGAGAACATAAATTCTGGTATACATTCTGCGCAGATGTGATTAATTTTACTCCTATATGACATTTTGCTGCAGATGACAATGACTTAAAAACTACTATTTGGTTAGAATCCTGAATTAACAATAAAAGTAAACATCAACATAAACAAAAATAATTACTAAATAACTAAGATCAACTGCAGCTGACACAAATTAGAAAAAACAAGCCTGAAACTAAGAAAAATTATTTTTTGCTATTGTCAAAATATCTGCACAGAAAAAAAATGTTTTCAAATTCCATTTTCAAAAGTGAATTTGCGGATCATTTTAGAACCATGACAAAGAATGCAGTTTGGAAGACTAACAAGAATGAATATTAATGAACTTTTGAACTCAATGAATGAATTTTTTATCTAAGGCTCCTAAATAATGTTAGATGAAAATGAGATGTTTAATGAAACTTCGATAGCTTAAGCTTGAGCCCAAAGGGGCCCCTTTTAGAGCTGATCACCTGGAAGCATCAAAAATACAAATGATTCCTTTTTGTTTGGCCCATGGAGTAACAGAATTGTTCACAAAAAAATTTGTTTTAGCATTTTATTACTAGCAAGTCCATTGGGAAATACTTTTAGGTCCATTGCCTATCAGGAAACACTGCAATTCTTGCTACATGTGAGCTGAGATTTTATGAAAATATTTTTGTTTTAATTTGCTCTCTGGAAAACAAAATAAAGTAGCCACCCTCCCCTTCGAAAGTGTACATGTATGAATGCCTTTAACCCTTTTGGTGCTATAGACATAGAAACCTGGGAGCTCAGCCGACACATATACCTAACTTTTAAGAAACAGGGATAATGTACCTATTTTCACCTCAAGAAAGTTTACCCCTACTTTCAAAATGCTTTTTATGTCTATAATCAATGGCAGAAATTATGGGGGTAAAGAGGGATTAAGCCCCCCCCCCCACCCACCCCATTCAACAATCTTGTCAGAAAATTCAGGCTTTCGTCAGATATTCGACAACCGTTTAACGTCTCAAAATTGCTGCAAGAAATTGTTCTGAAATGTATTTTAAGCTAATCTAAGGGGCGTAGTTGCCCAATTTTCTGCTCGCTTCGCTCACAGTTGATCTGCATGTACCCTTTGTACCCCAGGGGCCTCTATAAACTCTCTATACCCTTTTTATAAAATTTGAACATAGCATAGCTGATAAAGTATTAGTCAGTACTAAATAATCAAACAAACAATATATGACAAAATCAGAACTGCTTGTGAATTGTATATCTGATTTCAATTCCATGAAGATTAGCCAAACTTTTTATTGGATTCTGCCAAGCAAAAGTTATTGATTATTTATTTTGTTATATTGTCAGAAAGTTGTGGGCCTGAGACCAACCCCCCCCCCCCCCCCGAATAAAAGCTTGAATTTCCACCACTGTCTATGATAGAGGCTCAAACAAATTTTACAGAATATTGAGAGATTAATTCGCAATTGGCCAGATTAATGTGTTGAGCGGTTTTGCTAATAATAATCTAAAAATGATTTGCAACATTTGTTGAAGCTTCATCTTTATTTCATCAGTATTTTATGAGTTTGAAAAAATACCTACAGAGCAAATTTAATAGTTCCGAAAGCTGATCAGAAATATTTCAAAAACAAATGTGGTTTGAAATAGTGGAAAATGAAAACTCAAAGACTCTCATTAAAAAAACTGATGAAGTCTTCTATAAATTTGATTACTGTTGTGATTGTTAAAAGCTCTATCTTTTTTCACATGGTTGTTTGGTTTAGTTTATCTTTTCTTATCTGATTTCTTCATAGAGCACTCTTGTTTGCTATGCAGACAAATAACTACCACAAAAATGGATGAGTTAGCACATAATGTTGAATAAGCAAAGGATAAATTTGTAAGATTTAGGTGAAAGATATATGTGAGAATTTAGGTGTAGGGTAGATTTAATACCTCAAATTGTATGTTTATAATTTTGAATTTCTTTTCCTCATCCAAAGATATATGAATATTTTTTTATTTCATCAAAACTAAGCATTTCATAGTAATTGAAAAATTGCTGCATCATACCAGATATGCATCATAAATTGCTCCATCATACAATTTGAAAATTCTAGCATAAAGAGAAATGTTGTTTCAAGAAATGTGGCACAATAATATTTTAAAACCCAACTTTTTGTGGCTTGAAATAAGCTTAAGGACCTTTGTAGGTGATAGGATGATTAGGGGCTCATCCATGTCCAGTAGTTACAAAAATCTTTTATTTAGCATTTTGGTGTCCTACTTTTCTACTTTCTTCGATAAATGTATGTTATCTTTCTTGTTTCCATATTGTCGATGCTTTAAATCAGCAATGTTAAAATCTCCCTGCTTTGACTAGTTAGAAAATCACTCAACAAGCAATTATTGTATAGCATTACAAGAAAAGCTTTGCAACTGACAAAATATTTTTTGCTGTCCAAAAAGACTAAGGTATTTTATCTACAATAGAAGGTGAATTTGTTTATCTTTAATAAAAAAACAATGCAAAATGGAGCTCAGTTTTCTTTTTTGGTGTTTCTTAAGCATTTGGGTTCTTTATTTTCTTTTTTCTCTTTGAGTAACCTGGAAATTCTAGCATGTATTTTTTAACAAAGAGTGTTTAGCAAAGCAAACATTATTTTGTTCTTGTACAGAATACTTGAGTATTCAATCTTTGAAACAATGATTCAACTTCTATTTAGCTAAATAGGATGATAAAGAAGTAAGTCATATTGAAAACTCAATGTTTAGCTTACTTTTCAAGGTAAGATTCAGAAAAATGTTCGAAAGATTTTCAATGCTTCTTCTGGAGGAGAACTCCTATTTATTTTCCCTTAATTGTCATTTTGAATTGTGAAAAAGGCCTATTTGTCTTAACTATCACATTTCAGTGAAAATATAGAATATCTGCTTTTCTTTGGTTACAAAAGAATTGGTGACTTCATGATAACTCTGTGGCTGAAAATGACTTTTCACCTGTACTATGCAAGTTATCTTAACAAAATAGGATCATGTTTAACATTAAGCTTTACCTTGTGCCCTTTGACTGCACTATCGCTATGATTGGCTACTAGAGTAAAACTTTTTTTTCAGAGCACTAATCCACTTAGACTAAGCAACACTTATTTTTTATTGAACTTAAATAATGCTCCCACAAATCGATCAAATTAAGTAACAGGTGGTTATAAAGTAGATAAGGTCAACAGTGGTACCAGGAAAAATCTACTTGGCATGATAAGCTGTCTATGTTTCTATTTCAGGTAGTCTCTAAAAAATTTACAATATGTAAAGTAATGTTAATAACTCAAGGACAATTCTCAAAGTAAACACACTTAAAAATGTCTTTTATTGGATGGCGAAGCTCCATCCCAAGTTTTGCATGATGTGAAAAATATTGATGAGCTTGGAAACATTGGCTGCTAGGAATTTATCAATTTTTTATATAGCTGCAATCCTTTTTCTCGATAGAAAAAATTAGTTTGTGTGGGTTTTAATAGAGAAATATATGCCTTTGCCAAAGATCCAAGTGATTTTTTTGCGTTTGTTATAGAAAAATAAGGAAAAGAAAACTTAACCTTGCATTGCTTGAAGTGTGGAATATGTTTAAATTTTCTTCCTTATTCTTTGCGCCAAAATGTAGAACTCTGTGACATTATAACTAATCAATGATCAAGTTATGTAAGAAAATGTTTTGAACTTTTGTTGATCAAAATTTATGTTAAGTCTGTTGACCTTGTTTCTATATTATTTTGATTTTAGTTTGTTTTTTTCACATGTGTCCAGTTTTTCTCTCCCAGCAGGTACGCCAAAGCAGTCATGCTGAAATTAAATATTGTCTGGACTCAAAAAATTTAAAAACTGTTATTAGAAATGACTATATTCAAAAGCTCTAGACCTCATAGATAAGTCCTTCCAATTGTTGCCTCACCGGTTTTGTTAGATCGCATCTAGCTACAAAATGCAACAATGAAAGCACACTCGGTACTATTCTAATTAAATTCAATAATTTGTTCTTTAGTCGTTGGTAACCTGAAAGGGTCATTAAGTAAAGAAAATACATTTGTTTTATTTTAGCCTGGTATGAGAGTCTGAACCCAAGCAAACACATTACACATTTGTCAAAAGCAGAGCTGGGTGAGATTGTTAAAAATTTCTACATGACAACACGTAAGAAAGATGGGAGCCCGTACAAGTTATGCAGCTATTTAGCTATTAGGCGTTGTCTTTCATTGATTTTCCAGTTTGACTATGGTCTTACCCACGTGGACATATCATGTGATCCAGAGTTCCTGGATGCGAATGTCGTGTTTAGCCAGATGAGCCATTCCTTGCGAGGGCGCGAAGAGAACTTTGGCTTGACGGAGTCTTGGCGCTTGACGCCAGAAAAGTTGAAAAAGTTATACACAGAGGGACAGCTAGATTTTTATAACTCACAGAATCCAAAGGTACTCTTGCAGACAGTTTATTTCTACGTTTGTTACTATACAGGGATTGGCAAGTTAAGTGTCATGCGTCAAGTAAGTATCAATGATGTCCAGGAAGTGACTGAGAATGGAAGATTAATTGCATTCAACTTCGATCTAAGAAAGTATTTACCAACCGAAAGAGGAGTAGGACCGTTCACCATATACGAAATTCAAGGAAAACCTTGGTGCCCTGTTTTAACAATTCGCGAATACCTAACTCATAGAAACAGGAGTGTCCTTCCCTTTTTTCAAAAACCCCTGGCAAAAGCTCAGTGTTTTGGCACACAAGTCTGGTTCAAGAAATCGCGTTTCAAGGATATTTACCCTCTAGCTAATATGTGTCGCGAGGCAAATATAGACCCACCATTGACCTCAGGTTGCTTCAGCAAAGCGCGAATCAGTGCGGAGATTCGTTACGAGATGTCGTTCATCTACGCAAAATTATTCCCACAATGTTTCAGATCTTCTGATGAGTTGCAGGCCAAAGTAAAACAGAATGTTGTTAAGAGAAAACGTATGCGAAAAGGTTCCCATGCTAATGCGCAAATGTTTCTTACCAGCGGCGAACGCCCAAGTATTGCTATTAGCTCGGCACCTTTTTCGTCACTCGCGGCAAATGATAAAAATAGTTTCAATATGGCTGATGCTGAATCAGCTCCTCCGTCGATGGTTGTCAGCCGACATTACCAGCCAATAAATCATGCTTTAGCCAACGGTGAAGGCCAATTTTCACAAACAAGTGAAATACCAACGATCAGTGTTACGAATGTTTTTTCCTGTAGAAAAAATGATCATCTCGCCGCAGCAACGCAACCGCAAGACTCTGTTAATCTTGATAAACTACCAACGCTTATGCCGGTGCACTCTGCAGCTCTCGAGAATATTAGAGAGGCAAATCAGTCTCCCGCGAATATTGACCAGTTAAAGGGAAATGTGATTGCGATAAGTGATGACAGTCCTGAAGCTAATAATGGCTTGCCACAGGACAAATCGTATTTAGGGCTGCGAGACTTGCCTCAGAGTTGTTACGTTTCGCAAGAAACTACGCGACATACGGCTGTTAACGGAGAAACACCGAAAAAACCCACAGAACAAGCGCCTACCTCTGATTCGACGATGCACTTCAGCCGGGATGTTTCTGCCCCGCCTCCTGCGCCTTTGTCACTGGGCGGTGAAAATTCGCGTTACGAAGTTGCGCCGAAAAGGCCCAGATTCAACAACACAAGTTATACGTTTTTGCGTGAAATAAGTGCAAGTGCTCGCGAACAAGGCAAAGGGGCCGTTATGCTCTTGCTGTCCTTGCTTGACGACATTTCAAATAATAGGGGAAAGGAGCTCTTGACAGATATCCTACAAGAAATGAAAGTCATCTAATGCTTTGGTCTTCCTCGTCCGTTGTGAAAATTCTCTTTAAAAGACGAGCTTGCAAGTCCAGAGCCTAGTCTAAGTAAACAAAACATTGTTGTGTTCCACGGTCAGGAGTTACAGAATAAATTGGTCGTGGGCGGTTGAATAATGTTAGCATGTTCTGTTTTATAAACGGATACGTATTTACAGAGAAACCTTTATATGTTATGTTTGGGTGACGTATATCCTTAAGTTCCTAGTCATTATCTACATTCTGATTCTTCGGTTAATCAATTAGAACTTGCTAGGATATGCACAATGTTGATGCGGCATGTAATTATTCGTGATTACCTTAAAGAGAATTATTCGTGATTACCTTGCAAATTATTAGCTCGATAATGTTATGTTTTACGGAAGAAATTTTCTATCGGTAGCTTGAAAATTGTAAAAATAAACTCCGCACAAACATCTCCCATAAAGATATCTTGTGTAAAAAAGTATCCTTCTTTATGGTACGGTCTTAGTGATAACCACGTGGATTATTTACAAAGAACCTAGTGCCGCAATGAATCTAGCCTCTCCCGCTGACCTCATTTTGCCCAATATATAAGCATGTAAATACAAAACAATCTTCCGGTCATTACGTTTGAAAGAAGCTGACAATTCTGAAACTTTACGAGCCAGTCCAAAGTAAGGGCTTTGATATCATCATTTTAAATATTCTTACAGTCAATGCTCAATGGGATGGTATATGTAAGAATGGATTTTCACCCATGTAAATCAGGGATCCCAACATATGTTTAGCAAAATAAACAGACGGTATCGACTGATTGATTATAGAGTCTATTGCAGCCTATAGTTTTTTATTTAGATGTTACAAGTCCAATTTTAAAAATTAATATTTTTCTGAAATCCTTTTTGCTGTAATCTTTGAAATATCGAGAATATCCGAGTCGCACAAGTTGACGCTCTAAATTTAAAAACTGAGTTTTTGTCTAGTAAAATGACAAAAAGCGTGTACTGTTCTAGTCTCGGCTGTTCTAGAAAGGTTTGCTTATGTGGACTTTTGGCAATTGATGATCATCAAGTTTTATATTCCCTGTAGGACATTTGTTTCTGTTGGTCAAAATTCTTGAACAATGGTACTTATCTTCATAATTTGATCTCCTTGGATGTTATATTTTGATTTCTCCCGCAATTCCCTGTTTCATCTTATCTAGCATTCTATGAATTCACCTTCGACATTGGTTACATTTGCTAGGGGTCTTTCAAAATAAGCGAGCGCCCAGACTGCCTGGACTCACGTCTGTTTGGCTCCCTGCATGTTTATCATAGCACTGAATTCACCTACAATCTTAGAAACGCTGTCATAAAGAATCTACTAAATCTTGTCATCTTAATGTACGTATTTCAAGCCTCAGTAGACATACATTTTTCAATTGTAAATTAGTATGTTTGTTTACCTTTTACAATCTTCAACGCAATATGCACGTATGCACATTGTCAATTTTAGGCATTGTATAGAGTTTCGCAAATGTCAGCGTTTCAGCATTCTGTCAGTGTTGTCGTTTACTGAGATTTTGAACAGAGATTCCAGTTGTAACAACATCTTGTCTCTCTTTTGTTATGGCTCTGTTTTGTTACCTATTGCGAGGGGTGTATCACTCCACGGGATTTTTTCGGATTTAAAGATCCATTGATTTTAGGTTTCGGATTTCAGATTTTTAGAAAATTCTTCAGATTTTTATATATTTGTTTGCCTTAACTTCTCCTTCCTTCAAAACTTTAAAGAAGGGGGATTTAGCTTCATTATACCTCCTCGCTTGACAATTCTGATATCGCCAAATGTTAGTTGGCACATTTTATTGATTCATGCAGTTCTGTGGAAAGAACTTATCAAAACATAAGTAATTTAGCCATGTCCTTTATACCTAAAAACATAAATTAACGAAACAACTAAATCAAAAGCATAACAATAATGCAGGGTGGACAGGGTGTCAAAACACTCAGCGCACCTTTATCGGGATTCTCAAGATAATGCTGATATTTGATTTTATTTGACGCATACCATTTGAATGTACGTTCTGTCTTCATTCCAACGATATCAAGTTCTGGCACTTTCATTGAATTTTAAATCACTTAATGGACCTTTTAGCTATTCCACAAAAGAGTCCGGATTGAGTCATCTTTTTATACAATGGCTCGACTGGGTTGCGTTAGAGTTCTTAGAGCATATATCATTTTGTCATCTTAAAATGCTTGAAAATCTTCAGCTATGATTTGGCTCTATTTCCATGGTAGCTCTTGTCCTTTTATTGCCCTTTAAGCACGAAAGTTAAATATTCTTCCTAACAACGACTTGGAGGGATCATCTTCTCTCCTAAAGAGGCACAATTCTCCAGACTTTCCGATATTACGTTGCGGCATGGTTGCGCATCTGCGGTGTCGAGATAGTATTTTGCGAATTCAAGGGTTGGTGGCTCTGTTCACTTCTTTTGTCGTGGATGGATTTATTGGTGCACAAAAATAAAGGGACTGGAACAAGAACTCCTGTTACCAAAGATGACTGCCAACCAGCGAGGAATATGACGAGAAACCATAGAGATAGGAATATAAAAACTCTAGTGTTTTTATATTCCTATCTCTATGCGAGAAACGGTAACAGCAACAACAACGGAAAGTCTCCGTATTCACTGCACCGAATCATCCATCTCATCATCCCATCCATCGTATCTTTCGACGATGTTTTCGATTGATCCAATAGATTTTTGTCCAAAATGTTAGTCCGTTATGTGATTCAGCGCTGATGTTGCCAAAGTTTGGCCGTATGTCTTTGACTTTTTACCGGACATTTCTTGGCTATTTCTGAGTTAGAATGGATTTTCGGAATTTTATATCCTTTGTGCATCTCTGGATCTCTGAAAGGGTTTTAGTGCATTTTTGTGGATTTTTGGCAACCGTTTGAAGTAAGTTTATTTAAAAACTAAAGTATTTTGTATACATAAATAAGTATCATCTGAATCATTGAATATCTTGAGTTTCGATCTAAAAAGCACAATAGAGTTTGAAGAGTAAATCTTCAGGGGAAGTTCGTTGTAGCACTTAGGTCCTTGAAACAGAAATGGTTTTCTCGCAGCTTCAGTTCTTTAGTAGTGGTAATCGAAGGCCTGTGTCATTATTTCTGGTGTTGTGGGATTGAGTTCGTATGTTAAGCAGAGAGACTTTAGAAAATTTTTATTCTCAGAGAACATAGTTTAGAGAACTAATAAAGACTTAAAAAGTTTCTGTTCGATAACAGTACAGTTACAAACCCTTCTATTGATAGGTAATTTTCAACCTGCTAGTTTTTTCCAACAAATCTTCCAAAAAATACGGGAGAAAAAACAAACATCAGAAATGGATGAAATTATGGGATTGTCCATCGCTAATCTTTACAGCAAAATCTTGATGAATTGGCCCTATTGAATTTAGACTTTTCTAGAAATTCCATAAGATACCGCAATAGAAAACAGCAAAATCGTGAATAAGGCCATGCGTTTTCCAACCATGAATTCAGGGATGTCACTTAAGGGGGGTATGGGGGTGGTTCACCCTCCCCCAACCACGAAAGTAGGACCTTTTCGCGGGGCAAAACTGATTTTTCCAGGGCAAATGTTTTCTACCAACGGATCTGTTTTGTTGTTTTTCCTACGTAACAGAAACAAAACAAGTAGGTTATGCTTGTAATTTGTCTACTCCAAAAGTAAAACGATACAGACTACCAGTGACACGAAGTAAAAATTGCTAGCGTGATCTTGGGTTGGATAGAATAGATTTCTAAATTGATTCTGATTTCCTTTCACCTTAAGTATTACACCCATTTCTTTGACTGTAACCAGAAGCGTGACTTTAAGAAGGAGTCGACTATATACGGTTTTTATATCTTTTTTTGTGGATGATATAGGGGGTATTGTATAAATTCCTGTAGGTTATCAAGCTTATGTTTGCCAGATAAATATTATTTCATTGATAAATCTTTTCCAAAATATTCGACTACGCCCCATCGGGACATTGCTCAAGATATGTTGTCTATTGTTATTATGATTATGTTGGCATAATTTGGGGCGGTTAATAAAATTTACCATTACACTTTTCTTTATAAGAACCAATAAATTGAAGTTCAGGCTGGTTGATCTTAATTTTTTCGAATATCTTAGGCTGCATTGTTCATAATTTGTTCTTAAATTTGTGCGTGAGAAAACCTTCATTTGCCACCATGTTTGAATTTTCACCGAAAAAGCATCCCAAGACGGCAAAAAAACTCCTCGCGTTTGAGATAAAATATTGTTTAAAGTTACATTTTACAGCCGGCGGCCTCAGCTTGTTCTTGATTTGCTCTCAACTTTTGACAAACTTTGAAGCTTGTATTCTTAAAAAATTGTTCTTATAACAGGGCTACCAAACGGAGTTTGGAACAGGGGGGGGGGGGCAAAATGAATAAAAAGGGCACACTTGAGCATGCTTAATAATATAACTTCTCTTGGGAGGTTAAGTTTTTTTGTTTGTCTAAATCTTTCCTCAATGTTTGATTCATATTCTCTTCAAAATACGTTGTACTTAATTTTTTTTTAGTTCTTATTGTAAGTGGGGTTGGTCACGGTTAAGCGGCAGAAACACATCCTTCCCCAATATTTGTAAAAGGTGCATTTTCTTCGACAAATATTCAAATCAATTATAACATACCAAAAACATGAATCCACATTAATGCAATCATACATGCAAAAGTAATAAGAACTTACAAGTTAAACCGAAAAGGAATTCTGAAAATTCTGAAAATACGAGAATTGAGAACTGAAAGGAATTCTCGAATTTGCAATCCTTCTATTTCAAAGCGAATTTTCAGTCTCTATCTTTTTCAAGGCAAATAATTATTTTTTTCCTTTTCAAAGCAAATTTTCAGCCTCTATCCTTTTCAAGGTGTATTTTTAGTCTCAATCTCTTCCAAAGTTAGCAAGACAAAAAATAAACAGCTAAGACACTGAGTAGTATTACGCTGGTTGACCCAAATATACAGAAGAGACAGTCGCCTTTTCAGTATATGTTGTTAGAAACTGAGTATCACAGAAGTTTGCGCTTTATCAAGCAATGCCAAGATTTAGATTGTTTTACTTGTCTTTAAATGTTGAATGTTATTGAAAGGCTGATAGCACCAAACTTCTTTTTTGAATACGAAGGTGAAAGGACTTCCCATCAAAACCTGAGTTGAACGAGAGACAATGTACAACAACTTACATTGGGAAAAAATGCTCGTGTGAAAAGAAAAGCGCAGATGGAAAATCATTTTCTTGGAATTTCTAAATTTAAATTTCCATTAAACAGCTCTTAAAAATTTCAGATTATGAAGAAAGCCTCATAAAACTGAAACTCAGATCTATTTTCCCTGTTAACTGGAAAATTATGTGGTGAGTTGAAGATAGGTTGTCTAGAATATTTAGGTTAAGTGTATTTAGAAGAGGCTCTTCTCAAAAAGATTCGGAGCAAAAACTCATACCGATGGAAAAATCAGGCCTACCGAGAGGGGTGACAACGGTGTCAAATTTTCCATTCTCCATTTGTCTGAACCAATTATAAAGTGCATCATATCGGCATGTGCATAAGGGCGAGGACAAAATTTACATCCAATGGCACTTCACAGCATTTAATCAAAACTATTGTGTATAATGGTTGCATGCCAGAGTCTTGTTCTCACCATTCTCATGACACCCTGTTCTCTAACTATTTTTTAATTAGAGACAGGCTAATTCCCATAAGTGCCACGAATGCTCAGGGCCTCCGACGAGGGAGGGGGGCTATTTTGCAAAACAATATAGCTTTTTTTAGAATCTTTGGTTTTTTGTTATATTTTTTCTTGGCCCTTCTACTGTCCAACCTGCTTCGGAGCCCCTGATGCTGCTATCACAGTACCCTGGGTATCAGAACAGTTTTCTATTCTGTGACCAGAGAGCCTCATGATTCCTGGGACAAAGTATTGTAGACGGCTGAAGTTGTAAGTATATTTCTGAGACAAATAATTGAAAAACTGGTAAACTGGGGGTAAATAATATGTTTACAACATTTTGTGGAAAAGAACTTTAGCAGGAAATAATTCACTTTTCAATGAGGCTTTGATAGAAAAAAAAGCTTCAGAAGCTCAAAAAATGACACCTTATTGGGAATCGATTGTCAGGCTAAAAGATAAAACAGATTGTTAAATTCTTTTTTCAGTCCACAGTATTATTCTCTTCTGTTCACCGGAATATTTGAAAATTGTGAAACCATGGTCCAAAATAGGTGCGTAATTTTGTTTGCATTATGCGAAAATACCAACACTTCCTGGCGGGTAAGAAAAAAAGAGTAGATTTATTTTGACGAAGGGGTTTAAAAATGCGCGGCACGTTTTTTATTGATGTTAGCATATGTATTTCATTACGGACGGACACTCGACCCATTCCCTTATTAAAAGGAAAGGAAAATACTCAATCAGTGACGAAATGGCGAGAGAGAGGAGGGAAAGTTATGGCCTATGAGCGGAACTGCAATACTTGGAACAGGGATGGATAGATCAAGTGCGATATGCTTTGAGTTTGAGCCACAGAAGTGGCGAAAAAGTAAATGTAAGCATTGTTTTCGAGATATTGAGCTTCACGTAGGTTTTTCAAGTGACGGTGATAACTGCTATTCAGAATTAGACAATAGTGGAAATGAAAACAAATACAAGACGACAGACACCGCAAGCAACCTTTCAAATGAACAACGTAAAGCCGATCTCAAGGAAGAACTAGATCACGAGGTAAGTAATAACTCTGTTCTTTCTTGTCCTTATAAGTAATTTATGACCTTTAACTTTTACGTTAGCAATACTCACTGTCGTGCACGGCCTGCTCAAGTCTCTTTCTTCATACCCACTTCATTTCCTGAAGTTAGAGAATATTCCCGCCAATCAACAAAACACTACAGTTACAAGACGACTTATGATATAGCTAGCGTTCTTTTAAATTAATTTTCCGGGAAAAGAGACTAACAAGAAATAGACATGTATTTATAGGCAAAACGGAAATCATCACCTGGCTTCTCCTAAAACAATTTCTGTGCATTTTTATTGCAAATTATAGATTCGGAAACTCGACAGAATGACATTAAACGTACTGATATTAATAAATTTATTACCGAAAACAATTTCTTCTCAATTTGCACTCTTATTAATGGAAGCAGAGAATTCAATGCAAACACAAAGTTCTGCTTGTTGCCCTGAAAAGTTCCAAACAAAGAAAGTTTTCGTTTATAAAATTCAGAAATATCCTTGATCTTTCCATAAATACAAACAGTGAGGTAATTTTTCATGATGCATAACATCAAAGATTTTTTTATCTAAACTGATCTTTAGTGGTTTTGACAATTAACTTTCCTGAAAAGTTTTGATGATATTAAATCATTCTTTAGATTGTCTTGTTTAAAACCCCTGCAAATATACAAATATTTTTTTATTATTGAGTATTTACTTGATCAAATAATTTGTAAAGCAAAGCAAATTAAATATGTTAAGATCTCAATGTAGAATAATGAACAAAACCGAAACTTTTTCAAGAAGTCAATATGAAACTTTCTTGGATGAAAATGAATTATCATAAGAATGCACTCAGATATAGTTCAATGAAAGCAACTGTTTTGTGAAATGAATGAGTCATCTATTTTCAAATTGATAACAAATATCATTTTTATGGAAATGATATTTATGGGAATTGGGCATTGCAAGTCAAGCCAAGGCAGAGTTGCAATTGTTAACATGTAAAAAAATCCTACAATAGAATTATGTTTGATTTGTGGATTTGTTTGGTTGTTGATCTTTATAAAAAATTTCAACAAAAGCTTATTTAACTTATTATTGATATTGTTAAAGCCATTTTGTTAAAACTTATTAAGACAATATGGTTGAAATCACAGCTCAGGAAATTCCCAGTTTTCCACAAGGAAGTCTTAAAGTTAAGAGCCTTAAATCCATGCTACTTGTTGAAATTTTGGACAAATACTGAGAGTTTATGGGAATTTTGTCATTCTGTGCTTAGAAATGTTTTTCTATATATCATGGTCCAGAATGAACCGAAAATTAACAAAAGGTTTCAATGTAAACTAGTTTTATTGTATGTAGTTTGTTCTATAATATAATGGTATTTATGTCATATTGAGACATGTTATATATGCTTTCTTGTACAATATAAGCACACATACAAATATATTTTGTTTTTAATGATCCTTGAGATTGCTTACATAGATCAATTACTTACATAAATTAAATGTTGTTGCTGGATTCGGATAAAAAATGCATCTGACTATTTGTCAGTTAGCTCAATTTTTGTCAGTTAGCTCAATTTTCTGATGATTGGTTGTGTCCTCACCCTGTAGAAAAAGCAGAAAAATTGGTAAAAATGTGATAATCAATAATTTTTCAGCAAATTTTTTGCTTGATTTTGATGAAGAAACAATTAAAGCATTTATAGTGCTTGGTTATTAAAACACATTCTTTCATGAAGCACTCAAAAGTCTATTTTTTTCTTCACCTTTAAGTGGTGGAACCAGGGTGGGTAGAAAATGTTGAATGGGTACAAAATTAAAGAGCTTTGAAAAAGGGCTGCTTGCAATATTACTCGACATGAGTAAAGCATTATTATATATTATTATTATTTTCAAAGGTCTTAACTGTATTAACAGTCAATGAATGGTAAGGGTGGGGTATAACTTAGCATTTTATAAACTTTTGTGAATAATCTTCCACAGAGTAACCAGCAGGTGCTAGGGCACCTATGCACCTATTGGTTACATCATTGTCGCTTCTACATGTCAAGGGATCCTACTGACTTAAGGTCGTATTGTTTACAGTTCTCAAGATTTTGTTCCAAGGCTGCTTCATTTTGGTTGGCAGGTACAAAGATAGCAACAAACCAGTTGGTTTTATGCAATATCTGCCCAAACAAAATATGTTACCATGTGAAATTTATAAGGCACATTATTTGTCATGTTATCAGGTTGTCAAAGTCAGCAGCTCTTCCTTCAGTACCTAATGATATAGAATGTAATTTATATTAACTAAAGATACACTGAGAGGCTTTCTGAAACATTTTTATTCAGCCTGTAAATATTATGGTTGAATGGTTGGTAGCAGGAATTTCAACCTTTTTCTACTTTTGACAATCCGGTAAATTGATAACTAAAGGCAGTTCACGTAAAGCAGTAAATGAATTGTTTTTATAATGATGCTGAATGTAATTGGGTTTTTGATTGAGTGAACACAGAGATTGTGGAAATGGGCTGGAAAAAACAGACATGATGGAGAAATGAAATAAATAATGACTTTTTTAATCTAATAGAGTGTTAAATAATTGCATATTTTATATGGATAGTTATTGCTATACTATGATTGCTATACAGTAAAGAGCAAATAAATCTCTTGGCCACTCCTTTTCCATGTGGGTTTTTCATAGCATTGTCAAAGGTTGTTTAAAACATTGGTTCCTTACAGTAATTTATGTTCTTTTTGGTTTTGAAGTGTAACCAAAGTCTGTTTCTCATTCAAAGCCAAATTGAAATAAAATGCAAAAAAGGCATTTGTAAAATTATTTTAAAGTTTCAATTCTGCTTTGCCATCAGGAGTTTCCACCGGCAAATGATGCAAATTAGATTATTCTAATTGCTAAGAAACGAAGTCTTTTGCCAAAGGAAATTACATAGTTTCCTAGGACATTTTATTCTGTCAGCTGCCACACAGTTAATCATTAAAGATTTATCGTTATGTTTCTATAGGGGAGGATTACACGATCCTTGTTATGCATTGCCCACTGAGCCTGAAGTCCATTTACTGTTGAATTTTTCTGCCTTAGAAAACCATTTTGTGAATCATGTACCAGTTGCTGTGATCTTTTTGTTTTGCATTCAGGTGCATACACATGTCCTTTACAGTGACTAAGGGATATTGCACGGTTGCAAAAATGTAAAAAAATTAAGAGCCATGAGGTGAAGTAAGTGTAGTTGAACCACGAGGTTGTTGATCAAGTTAATCAGCAGAACGCATTTACTAACAATCGGCAAGCAGAAAAAAAATTGCTGATTTATATTGTTACTGTATTCAAATCGCTAAATGCAGGGCCTGTTTTCCTTTGAGATAACCAGGGGCGGACACATGGACAAATATTTGGGGAGGGGGGGGGGGGTATGGCAAGACTATAGTTTTCATGAGATGATGTCAAATTTTCTAATTGTTTTAGAAGAAAAGACCATTGTCCTCCAAAGTATTAGGGGCTACCGCTCCCCCAGGTGTCGGTCACTGGACATAACATTGAGTTCTGTAGGGCAGTATACATTTATTTGACTGTTTTTTATAGATTTCCTATAGATTTCTTCTTTTTGTAGGTTTTAAAAATCACTAAGAAGATTAAAGCGAAGAAAAGCAACAATGGAAAGCAAGAAGATACGCCCGTCCTTGGTGATTCTGCTACTGAGAAAGCCAGTGTCTACAGTGTTGGTGAAGCAGCTAATGTGATTGATATGAATGAGCAATCTGAAAAGGCAGACTTCCTACTTTTGTCAAGATCTTTTGAAGAAGAAAGTCCAAGTCTCCATAGAAAACATAGCTTAGAGGCAGAATGCCTGCTCACTCGTTCATCTTGCATGGAATTCTCATCAACGTCGTCGTTGGCGAGTTTTGATGCTCTTGAGGATAACACTCTAAGTTCGTATTCATACAGCGGAAGTCGAGATAATTTGGATGGCTTTGCTTCAGGCGACGAACTTTGCTTTCAAGACAAGACCGTTGAGAAACCGATTCCAATTTTAACTGAAAAACAGCCTGCTGATTACGAGGAGGAAATAGATAACCTACAAGATAGACTCAAATACTTAGAGAGGGACAAAGACAGAGTAACCCAAGCTTTAGAAAGGGAACTAGAAGGACTGAAGCTGCAGTTAGCTACCTATTCAGCCAGGGAGAACATCACAATTGTGAAAAATAGGCTTGAGCTTGAAGGAAAGAATCAGGCAATTCAAGAACTAGAAGAGGAAAATTGTCATTTACGCAGCGCAGTTGAGGATCTTAGATGCAATCGAGATAGTGAGGAGACGCAATATGATTGGCTACAGGGAAAAATAAAGAGGCGCAATAAGCGCTTGCAGTGTCTTGAAGATGAGAAGAAAACATTGGAAGAGCGTTTGAAACTGGCTGAAGACTTACAGAAAAACGATCGAGACCTATTAGATGTGCTTCGAAACCAACTGACGTCACTCGAGAGTGATTTGTTATCAGCAGAAGATAAAAATAAACAATTAGAAGGGGAGACAAGGAAATTAAAGTCTATTGAAAATGATCTTAAGGAAGAAAGGCAGATCTCTCACAAGGTCAAAAGACATGTCGAGTTTTTGAATGGGAAATTGAAAGTAAGAGAGCAACATGTGAGCTATTTGGAAGAAGATAATGTTAGTATGCAGCAGGAAAAGTCAGATTTGGAAATGAAGTTAGAGAAGGACAGAGAGAAGATTGAACGGCTAAACAGTGTTGTCAAGGAGTTAAAAAAGGAGGTGAAAGAATGCCACGAGGAGATTGAGAAACTAAGTGAAGAGAATAGCCAACTAGAACAAGCTCATTGGCAAGTAGTCATAAACCAAAACGATACTTCAGGACAATTAGAGAGTTACATTAAAGATCTTGAAAAAAGAGCTAGCCAGGGAGAGGGCAGAATAAGGGAGTTAGAGGCTGAGAATGAATCTGTGATAAATCAGTCCAGTGAGCTATTGGAGAACTTGGTATTGTCTCAAGAGGAAGTTGAAGAGAGCAAACGACAGTTGGATTTGATAACTGGAAGTTACAGTCGTTTACAGTCGATTAAAACTGACCAAGAAAAGCGAATGATGACAATGCAGAGGAAACTAAAGAAGTTGCAAAAAGAAAAGAAAAAGTTTCAAATTGAAAAGCAAGAAGCTGATGAGAAAATATCTCTGCTTAAGATGAACGACGATAAGGTCTCGTCAAAATGTGATGATTTAGAGAAAGGATATAAAATGCTGCAATTAAAGTTGAAGTCAACGGAAGCAAAATTGACAATGGTAGAAAGTAATAAAATTTATATCGAAACAAAACTAAAAGAGTATGAAAATAAGTTTAAGATAAATAATAATAAGGTATCGAAATTAGATAGCATTGTTTGTGATTACTTGAAAAGTGTTGGCGAGTATCAAGGTGCTGAGGCTGGTGCAGATGTCATAGAAACATTTGAGGTTAATCTAACCAAGATCGTAGACTTATCTGGGAAATTAAAATCGCAACTTAAAGAATATGAGGATAGAAATACTTCTCTACTAAGGATGGTAGATTTTGGGGAAAAGCGGATTGAAAAAATCAGCGAATTTTTAGAAGTAACACAGAACGAGAAAGATATCTTGAAGTACTTGTTGGACGAAAAAAATGATGATTGTCAAAGAGTTCATGAAGCGTTCTTGACAGGCATTGCGTCTCTAGCAAATCAAAATGATTTTCTGGAAGAAAAGCTTTCAGAAATGAGAGTATTGGAATCAGAAATCAAATCGTGCGAAGACCGTTTGGATTCAGTTTGCATTTACGACATAGAAGAAACAGAGTCACAGTTTGTTCCTGGCCAGGCCTGCAATGATAGTGGCATTGAGAGCTCAACCTATCAAAATGAACCTGCATCTGAAAATCAGGATGTCAATACCTGCACTAATGCAGCAACTGATGTTAGTGGTATCTTGCCAATAGAGAAGGATGATGTTGATCAAAAATCTTTATCGAATTACCAGCAGCTTAGTTGTATGTTTAGCGAGTTTGAAAATGAACCACTTTCCGAAACAAATAAACCTACTGTCGATTCAAGTTGTTGTCGTAAGACTTCTCTAGGAGCCTCTTTTTCACCTTCCAGTGAAGATAATTTTTTGTCCAATCACGAGAAGGGGCTTTTTGAATGGTGCAAGGAAAGTGGTATACAAGAAATGGAGCATTATCGGCCTGAAACTAGAGATGGTGACAAAGCAGATTTATTATCGAATACATATATTAATGAAAATATTCATGATGCAGGGGAAAAACAGTGTTTGGAAAAAACGAAGGACTACTTTTCAAGTTCATTTAGAGATCCAAATGTATACGAGAGAGATGATATTCCGGCCCAAGAACCACATATTGACATCAAAATTGAGGAGGGAAGCTGTCAAGAAATTGAATGTCCTCAAATGACAATGTCGTCTCAAGAAGATGAAACAGAAGAGCAGTATGTTGACATTGATTGTTCAGAACAGGCAAGAGATGGAGGGAATGTTGAGCTGAGTTGCACACTCAAAAATGTTGAGGTGAGATAACGGTTTTGTGATGAACTGAAGCTAGTCATTTCCTCATTTCCAGAAACCGATTTGTGTCAATATGTAAATAGGCCAGCGGTTTAAAGGACAGTTTACCTTTGTTTAGTAATCATTTTCAAAATGTTTTCTTGCCTTGGGATTTCAATAACAAACTAATGGGAACTGCAAACATCAAAAAGCCTGTCTTTTCAAAATAGCAATTTTTCTAATAAGGACTGCAAAAACTATCAAAGCATCAAATCTGATCCGCCGTGGCACACGAGATGGTTGTCCGCCAAAAGTCTCTGTCATGTGCACTTAGCAGCAGCTTAGCCATGGACATTCCCACAACCTCCTTAATATCGTTCTCAAGCTTCCTTCGTGGCCTTCCTTTTCTTCTTTTACTGCTCACTATACCAGACAGGATATCATATCCCTATGCCTTTACTTCTTGCAACATAGCCAATAAATGACAATTTCCTTTTGTTTATTCTGTTCATTAGTGCTGCTTGGCCGATTTTTTATAGGACCCAGATTCCTCGCTCTTTCAACTACCAAAACATATGTCTTAAGATATGCTTTAAGCAGAAACTTTGTAATGAGCACGTTGCCTAATTTTTGCTGCGTTTTGATGGAGTACTGTTTTAGTCTTTGATTGATTTACTGCCTTCTAGAATTTTTGAGCGAACATTGCATATTTAAGAATCTGTCTAGAGTTTTGGCATATTTTTATGGATTACATTCGAATTTGGACTGTTAAGCTTATAAATAAGTAAAACCTTTCAGTTAAATATTTGGCTTTTGAAAAGTAACACGAAAAGTTCAAGTCTATCAATTTCAACAGGACTACCTATCGCGTAGTCGGCAGCTTTCTACCTCGGGGAGCTGCGTAAAAATCACAGATTCAACTTGAGATTTTCGGCTGAGTAATATTTACTCTAAGTTTTAAGAACATCAGTTTCTGTCAAATTATAGAACTTGCTTTAACACGTAGAAGAAATATTTTTGGCTTTATTTCTTGTGTGTCCTTGTTGTTGTCAATTTTGTCGCAATGCGACTCAGCGTGACCACATGGAACGGTGTTTTGTTAAAACGTAGAATATTTATGGTCAAAGTTCTCTTTCGTTTTTTGAAAATGTCAAGGCCGGTTATAAGTATCTTTTAAGCAAAGTTTTAGTTTTCTCTGCAAATATATATTTCATATACCCATAGCAACAAGGGGCGTGGCCTGAATACGACTCATTTTTTGAATCAAGCTCTAAGTACTTAATGTTATGTTATAAATGTAAGTTATTGTATACGAGAGCAAATGCACTTTCAGCTGAGGTAGTGTCTCCTTTTATATGTCTGTTTCTCGTTACAATCATATACAAATTTGAAGGGTAAAATATTTTTAGTTAAATTTTGGTAAAGGACATTTTATCGGTCTCGAGAAAGTATCCTTAGCTTAAGTGTATCTTGATCATAGTTCAGTAAAGGAACTCGTAACTCTACCTTTGCTTGCATCCTCCATAATCAAGGCGGCCTCCCCCTTTTATTTTTGAAAATAAACACTGAGATAGCCACTCATATGACGTACTTTGTGCTGTTTTCTTGAGTGTTAGGGTGCTGTCTTCTCTGTTTCTTAATGTGATAAGAACAGCATGCTACTTTCAAACCAAGCTTTGCTTCGGAGTTGCTGATCATTAAATGTATTGTTTGTAATATTTTTAAATTCGGTTTTAGGCCCAGAAGAAGATGGAAAGTTCAAGGTCAGTATCAAAATACGGGGTTGGTCTAACTTTTCCTTGCGTATTTTAGATTTTCGTATCGCAAGAAATCTATTCTGACATTTAACATTATAACATATCCAGTTTTTATGCGCTTGTTACTTGCAATAAACTCGATTTGATGTCATAAAATATTTTTTGAATGCAAACGTTAAATGAGCGAGAAAGTAAGGCCTGGAAGGTACGGCCTGTATTGGCTTCGTATAAGCGACAGCTGGTAAGCTATAAAATTTGTTGGTTGCGAAACTTTGAATCCAATTTGCTTAATGTCTCATCCAAGATATTCGAGTACGTCGAATTACATTGATCGATCGCCAGTTATGAAAAATTTAGCAGCTCATTTTATTTAAAGAAGCAACGAAGCAATTTTTTATCTATTTTGATCTTTCAAATATTAATTAGCAACGATACATTTTATAAACTCTTTTGCTTACTTTGTTTATTGTCAGCCGGTGAAAGATCTGTGAATTCGCTAGAAATTTAAAAGGTGTGTTTTAAGGGTCTGACATGGCTTTTGTCTATAACTGTTTTCCTAATTTGCGAACAAACCTTAAAATTATTATCATATATCCAACTTGTATTCAAGATTCTTTGGCATAAAAAGCAGTGCCAAGTACATGAATCTTTTACTTAGCCTCTGGCATTCTGTTTTGTTTAATTATGTAACAATACAGTAATCAATGTTCTTTTTTAAGGAAGCCAGTGCCCTAGGCATCCATAGATTTTTTAATGATAGAGTTTGATAAAGCTTTTTAAAAATGCTCAGCCTTGAGCATATGTCACTGCCCTCCGTTGCTAAAGATATATTTTGTTTTCCTTTCAGGCCATTTACCTCCATAAAATGTATCTTCCAAGTGGAGACAGATCACCGGGGGTCGCTGTTGGATTACTCAGAAAATCAAGTGAAGAATGATATTTCCTCCGAAGGTAGGAAGGGAAACGAACAGCGTGATTCGCACGGGTCATACTATTCGATCGCTGCATCTAATGTTGGCTTCACTCCGCTCCAAACGGAGGTCGCACACCCCATTCAGAAAGAGGCCGCAAATGAAATAAACGCCACTAAAAGGAAAGATAGTACCCCTACAGCTCGCAGGTGGGTGCCTGATTACTACTTCGGTTGCTCGGATGTGTAAACTTTGTTTGGCTAAGTCTGGTTGGGTATGACCTGCTTGTGATCGCTTTTCTTCTAGCATGATTACTAGCAGATTGGCAAATACTAATGTATCTAAACAATCTTTTTGTGGTACAAAACTTGTAAATGGCTTTGAAAAAAGCAAACATTTAGTAAACTAAAGCTTTTCGTCTGACACTCTTCAGAGTTTGAAACGTCAGAACATAGATCGAAAACTCTACGCTAAGAAATATATATACCCAGTTGTGGATCGAAATAGGCCAATCAGAAACACGAGCACATGATTGAGAAGTTCTACTGATAGAACTTTTTATGACGTCATACTTGCTTCTAAGGGATGCATGTTATACATTTCGTGTTTTCATCGTAGCCACAAGGCTGGTATTGGACAACTGTATCAAATATCACAAGAAGACTGCGGTGCAATAACATTAACGATCCCTTCAGCAAGTCTAGAGGGAGAAGATTTAGAATCAGATGCAGCTTTAAGCACAGGAAATAGAAATGAGGTGGTTATTGAAAGAGTTTCTCTTCTAGGAATTTAGCTTTTAGTCTCCTTGTTTTGAAGAAGGTAGCAAATCTCACTCCTTCTTTTCCCCTTTTGAAGAGAAAACAAGACTGATTTAGTCAGTGTGATTAATGTATTACATTTGAGGGTTCAAAACTGACTAACAAGGTCTATATTCAAAATATAAAAGGGATCTGAAATCCTAGAGAAAATCATTAAAGACAACCATCAGTAAGTTTACTCTTATGCGAAGTTTTAGCTTAAATTCGTTAAAAAAACCAGCAGCACCAATAAACGCAGGCTTAAATGGCATATAAAATTTCTATAGGTAGGAAGGAACGGGTGCATTCAACAAAATTTACTTTTAAGACAACATTGTCAAAAAAATATGCTGAAGAAGCAAAAAAAATGACTGTTGACTGTTTGAAGCATCTGGTGGAAACTCGAATAATTGTAAGGTCACTAATCTTCGTGTAATATGTTTTCGTTGAAACAATTGATTCGCACCAAGCTCTCAGCACTCCCTACATAACAGTGATAAAAATTCAGTTGGCCTGAAAATTTCTACGCATGGTGCCGAAGTGGCTTTTGCAAAATCGCTTTACGTTGCCATGTAAACTGCAGTGCTTTGCAGATTGAAAGTGTTCGTTTTCAGCCTGTGCGTCTGCCGGCCACCTCCGCACTCCACGTTAGGCGATTTACTGACGTAAAACCAATGAAGAGCAGATGTCGTTGTTTTAATGCGCACAAAATATTAGAAAGATCTACGTAATTCTCTCAGTTAAAAACCTTCTAAGCTTCCAGATTGTGAAGCCGAAGTTTTTTATTTCCTCTACTTACGAACCTTCTTTTTTCATTCCTTTTTAAACGAGGTTTTGTGGCTTCGTATATGCAGGTAACCTCTATTAAATAGTTTTTACTTTTAGGAAAATAGAAAATGCTTTCTCTTTGAGTGTCATTGAGGATACGGTGTACATTATCAGTATCCGTAGCGAGGAAGCGCGTTTTAAGTTTTTTGCTGGGACGTAAAATCGTTTTATAGGCATAAAATGATACTTAATAACTTTGTGTTTTTTCAGGTGAAAGATACTCTTGAAGAGTCGTGCATCATTTCTGAACAATTTCACGCTGTAGAAGGTACATAAAACCATGATTTTGTACGCACTGAATAAATGCTATCGCAGATGATATGTGATGGTTTTTGACTCAACTTGTTTGGTTCTCGTATGATTTTGTAGTTTTCGTCGTATTTGAGACGCAGTTGGTAAGATAAAAGCAAATAGGAGCGATAAAATTGTTTTGTCTGTAAAATGAGCTTCTGTTATTGAAACCATACAGAAGGATACACCTGTTCGGTGATATTTAGATATATCGCTAATCCTCATGTGATTTCTTGAGAGAGGCCAGTCCGCTAATGCTCCATCTCTTTTACTCGATATACCACTACAAATGGTCCTCGAATCCCTCTCTTACATCATTCATTCTATTGCATTCCTTTTTAATCACGTCAATCCTCAATATTAAGATTAGAATCTTAAAAAAGTACAACATATCTTTTTAGAGAGGTTACGCAAATTTAATTATCGTTTTTACATATTACAAAACTTAGCATTTTTCACGTTCGATTTTCAAACATAAAATCCAGTTTGTGCCAGCTTAACTCACAATGCTTGGGAAATATGCAAGTATTGAACTTTGGATTGCATTTGGATTCAATTGACGTATTACAACAAGGGACCGTTGTAAAAGCTGATGAAGAAATCATGTCATGGATGGGGTTGACTATCTTTCAATCTCACATCTGATATTATTTGAGGCTCCTTATGCGTAAATCGAGGCAAATGTAATATGCTAGATGCCTAGTCTATGATTATTGATTCATTTGCAACATTATGATATGCTGTTTTGAATGAATTAATGATTGGTTGTTCACAATACCACGTGTAGAGATAGGTAAAGTTTTTATTTTCTTTGGTTCAGCGAAGGGTCGAAAGCGATAGGTTGGCTCACGTAAATTAAAACTGATTATGTTCGCCATTTTTGAAACCGATAATTATGACCAGTGTCACAGGACCTTCCTTGATGCTGTTTCACGTTTATTGTTAAACATTGCTATTGACCTTAACGCGTGATTACAGTTGCGCTGTCGTTGCATGCACGTTGACGAGTATATTTTGTGTTGAAATTCTGTTCATGTTGGTCTGTAGGCTCAGCTGTAGTTTAATGTTAGTAATTGTATTAGTTATTAATGGGTTAAAGTGGAATTTTGAATCAAAGTAGAATCTCATTTATTATAATTAATAGACATTATGGATTTAATTGACTATAGTAGTTTAATTTTTAAATTTTTGTATTGAATTTTACACATAGAGGCATACACAAAAAGCGGCCTGAGCTATTTAGAAGAATCAGCAAATTATTTACAATAAGATAGCCAAACAAGCTATTTGTAAGGGGATGCGGTGAAGTATTGTCCTTGATCTTCATGTCATATGCAAAACAGTTTAAGAATGAGATCAGACTTATCCGTGTTATAGGACAACTTACAGCTTTTTAGGAGATTCATAAGGTCATAGTGACTTGAAAACGTCAGTTAACATTGCAAATTGAAGAGTTCCATGAGAAAAGACTAATTGAAACTTTCTGATATACAATTTTTTGAAACTTCTTATTACCTGTTCCTTTTGCCCTGAACATAGATGCCACAAGAAAGCATCTGCATCGTCATGCGAACTATGCCGTTGCCGTTCGAGGTTTCCCTTGTAACGGTTCCGGGTTTGACGTCAATCACGTCCATATCTTCCGTTTTATTTTGCTAGTTTGCATCAGATTTGCCCAACACTTCTAGATACTTAATAGAGAATTATCAAAGACGTTGCAAGAATAAATTATTCAGTATTAATATTGAAAATTAAGAGATTTAATTGTATTTTATTTCTGAAGTAGCTTTGTATTTATTTCTTTTAACTAGCCTCAGTGGATTTTTATTTTTATGAATTTTCCCCATTCAGATGTTTATTTGCTATATCACTTACCCTTTGAAAAAATAAACAAATTTGTACCGTGACCTTTATAGAAATGTTTCGCCAATGCTTCAGCAACGAAGGTTTGACTTGGCAGCCAATGCACTGGCTTCTGATATGGCAAAACTGGCTATAAGAACGACTTTATGGGTACTATATACTTTAGAATTAACACTATTTGTCAGATTAGGCTTATTGGTTAATGGGATTGCGCGTCTTCCTGGAAAAAGCTCACTAACCTGTTCTGCTAAGCACGAAACATCAGAATGGGTTTTTAATGTCATACATCAACATTAACCCGGAAAAACCTCGAAATGGTTTGGCTAAAATTTCTGTTGGAAAGTCATTTTTGAAAGGGAAGAAAAGACAAGAACTTTTCTTGATTATTTTTGTCCGGGATTGTCTTCTATGTATAACAACTACCTTGTTCATCGACAATGCAAAGCTTAGTTTGCCAAGCACTGCACTGACCTCTACATTTTAGAAGAACCGCAACCATACATACTATCAAAGGTTTAATTCTTAACCTGAATGGTCGCTGGAAGTGGCAGGCGTTCTGTGTCCTGACATGGCTCTTCCTTTAGTGAAATTAAATACCAGGCAGAGAGCCAATATCGAAGCCATGCAAACCTCGCCAACATTCTCCAAAATGAATGGAATATGTTGTGCCACAAGTATATATTATTGGATCTTTATCTATGTTATTTTTACATCCATGTTTAGGTTATAGATCCCGAGTTTGCCTGAAATTGCCGATAACGACAAAACGAGGTGACTCTATCAGCTACTGTCGCAAATCTTTTATAAACCTGCTCATAATGTGAATAAAGTCTTCGTACCAGAAATTTCTTAGGTTGTAATTTCATTTCTGCGATAATGGTAGAATGTTAAGATATTTGATGGGGAGGTTTAAAATGATTAGTAGCAGATTACTTAGATAAGTCGAAATATACAGTGTCGCATGTACATCCCTTTGCGATAACATTTTCTGGTTTTGAACTGCTGGTTGGATATATCTCGACTTACGGATTGCAGTTTTGGAACCGCCTCCAAATCTTTTAAGGTCTTCAAGCAGACAATGATATCTCACGCGTTGAAGTCATTTTAGCATTTGCAGAGTTTAATGTAAAGCACAGCAACGTTAAGGTCGAAGAATTAGAAAGTTACGAATCAAAATTAGGAAGACTTAGTAAGATAGACTGCTGATGAAATCGATGGAACAGAAATGAAAAATTCTAAAGATGAAAGAGATAAGCGTGCATTTTCAATTTATGGGATATGAGAGAGGTGAGTGGATGGATGAATGACGTCATAGAAATGGCTGATTGAGAAAAAAGGAAGAAAGTGAACGATAAAGATAGATTTATGACAAAAGGAATGAGGGCGAAAACGATGTCAGTAATTAATCTAGTTTTTGTCCGAAACACCTATTTCTGAAGAAAGTTTTATCATCTGAAATAAATTTTCTGAAAAGGAATCAATCTGAACAACCATACTGATTGGGTCCTCTAGTATATCTTTTCACGGACACTTTACAATTGTATGATATATGAGAACCTGTATCAGCCCAAAAAGCAATAGCAAGCATCAAACTACGATAGCATAAAAGCACTGATAAAATAGCTGTGATTATATGGAGATGGCACAGAATTGTGGAAACAACCTCAAACGCGAGGGCTCAACAAGGGCAATATGAAACAAGGTGAATATTGAACTTTCAAACGCGTACCTCTCAGAGTAAATAATAATTTTTAATAATAAGCTTAAATAACGCAACAGCATTGCAAATCTGAAAACAGCGTTGAACATCACACCGAGCACACGTGCATAGAAAGGGGTAGAAGAATATATAATGAATGTCCATGAATTGAGTGCCAAATAGCATTAAAAGAAAATAAGATGGATATATCTTTTAGTCCTTTCTACAAAGTGTAAATTATGCATAGTAGTTCCAACAGATTACAATATTTGTTAAAAAATCTTGAAATCAGGGGTGTACTGTACGGGCCAAGCCTCCTTGTTAATACCGAAAAGTAGCTAATTTCTACGCTTACTTTCGAAAGGTATTGCACCAGCCGCTAGAAAATGGCAGTATAGCCGCAAAAATTTCTCAACCAATAAAGTATTAAATAGCTCTAGCAAGTTATGTAAGATGATAGAAAATTTGTAATGTATTGTGGACAATAATAGGTATTTTATAAAAGTATATTGCTAAAGACTCGATTCAAGAATGGGCAATTTTTTTGCTACATAAAGCTAATGACACCCAAGAAAGGTTTTAGTATCAAGTACACTTTTATAATTCGTCTGTTTTTATGATAGGTTAATTAATCAATTGGCTTAAGTGTTATATCAGCCAATCACGGCTGAATTCGTCATGATAGAGATGCCAAAGAAGAATCTTCATGGATACATTTTGAAAATATTATTTGCTATTTGCGTGATATGAAAAGGCCCCGTATGCGAAGAACAGAATAGGTCTGAACCCTTTGAGCCTTTTCGGGTTGGACAGTAGGCCTTTTCATATCACGTGGGGTATTCGAAACATAATTCTGCTGCGATTAGAGAAATGTTGATGCCCGTTTCATTGTTCGTTACTAAGTTCATCCTCGAAAGTGGGATTTCAAAATTAATCTTCGAACTCATCTCTGTGCAAGCATTTGACAAAGAAAGCTATCTGCGAGGGAGAAACCTGCCTAAGAACCTTCGTTTTTGCGAGCCATCTGTGCACTTCTGCAGCCATACAGAAACAGAAATCATGGGAACATGCCTTTCAGCAAAGAGGTACTTCACGATGTTGTACACAGTGTGCTTTTTAATAGACAGTTGATTTTAATACACTGTCAGATGGCAGGTATATTGACAGAATCAAGCTTTGTTTTGTATTCAGAGTTTCAAAGATCTTTTTAGGAACTTTGGCAAATTGGGGCAACAGATCCAATGTTTCACTATAGTCTTGAAAACGTTCTTATGTTCATCGCATTGCAAAGACATCTTCGTAATAATATTATTTTCATATAAAAAGCTTTTTCTTTTATTGTGTTATTTTTAAAGTAGTCTATTCAAAAAAGGAATCATTGAGTGAAGCCTATAGGCCTTTCCCTCAATATGAGACAATTACTTTAGCCATGTTTGTATAAAACTGTTCAAAGATAACGAGGGGTGGGGGTTGGGGTACAGAAACAGATAAAATCAATATAAATTGTTTAAAAGAGAAAGAAGAGCTTAGCAAAAGAAGCTTTAGCAGTAACTCTTGTTTTCTTTTGAAAACCCCTTAAAAAATGTAAAGTTTTATATGATGAAAGTTAAGATCTGTAAAGAACAGCAAGAGAAGATTTATGATCTGAAAATTATCTAGAAAACCAAAAAATATTTCCAGAGACAAAATAAAATGTATTTACTGTATCAAAGAATTTTTAATATAAAGAAATTTTTAAACAATGATAAAGCGGGTTTAATATTTTCATTTGGCAAGGGAATCCACTCTGATCTGAGGTACGATGAAACTGAGATACAATTTGAAAAATTGGCATGAAGCGATCATTTAATGAAATTCTAGTGGCAGGGATTTTATGTAAAAGGGCATTCCTTTGCAGTGACGCAAATGGAAGCAAAAAAACAAAGGAGTGAGCACAATTTACCATAATAGGTGAGGCTAAAAGAAAGTAGCAAGTTAGTGGAAACATACAAAACGCAAAAATTACCGTTATATAGATATAATTTGAATTGGTTTTGAAAAAATCATAACCAAACGGACATTTTCTATAGGGGAATAATGGGTCAAATTGTAAAAGTCTAAGGACCTGATGGGGAAGGGATTCCCAAATATTTTGTAAATCAAGAGGTCCCTTGTATTTCATAAAACTAATATTCATCGATTTCCCAAACTTTTTTTCAGGTCATGCCAATTAAAGCTTACTTAAGAACATTTTCCAGTGAAACCACACCCTTGCATTATACAATCACTGCCAAAAGTCTTGGAACACTAACGTAGGTTTTCAAAGGCAAATTAAGCCATCCCCCTCTCCCCCTAGGAACAATGTTGATTTACTATAGAAAAAAGAAAGGGGTTATGGAGTACGCTTTTTCTTGTGGATTGTTTGATATTTTTTTATACTTTCAACATTGTTTTGGGGGGAAAGGGGGGCGGAAGTGGTAGTATTCAAGAAAACAAATGAAAAATAGAAAAGCACAGCGCAAAGTGTTAGGTGTTCCAAGTAATTTTGGCAGTGATTGTAGCTTGAAATGTTTGTGCATAGCAAGAAGAAAAAAGAAAACAAATTTCCATGCTAAAGAAAGATATATGATAAACACAATTTAAACAAACACGATGATGAATATCAGATATAATGTTAAACGCGGTTATAAGGTTCAATTGAACTACCACAACAGTCCAAAAGCAAACGAGTTGCTAAAACAGCAACAACAAGCCTTTAGAGAGTTGCGATATCTCTTTTCCTTCCATGACATTAGTGTCTCTACGAACGAATTCAATCATTCCTGAGTCACTTCGAATCTGTTTTGTCTCTGCTTTCCTCTTCTTGCGAACCTCCTACTAGTTAAGAGTCTTTTTTCTCAATAACTGATATTCATTAAAAGCCATAAATCGTTCTCCCGCCATTGTCCTTTCCCTTTTCCGTTGATACTAAAGTTTTGAAATATCAGGTGATGATGGTGTCATCTAAATAAGGGGCTGCCTTTTCGACAAAAAACCTTGAAGGAATATCAAGATCTGAGAATACCCCGGCATCCAATCTGTTCTCCAATCTTGTGAGCATGCGCAATGCGAAAGTCATGGACCGTACCATTTCAGTTTCTGCTTCTCCGTACGATGATTCATAGAAAATTTCCACAGAATCAACTTCGTCATTGAGAAACTTTCCTTGCAAGCCGTTCACACAAAGATATACCCTAAACATTTCGTGGTTTTGCAACAAAGGAAGATCAACTTTGGCCGAGAGTTGCAAATTGCTCCCAATCTTGTTTGGATTCCAGTTTACAAAGCCGAATTTGTCATCGTATGCAAAGTGAAGATTTTCCCGTTGTAACCCGCGTTGAATCCCGCGGTAAACAGCACAAAGATTTTTAAAGGAATCCAGTGTGTCATTAGTTTCGCATTTGAGATAAATCTTTAGGTGACAGTCTCTATTGACTGCAATACATAACGTTTGGTCTTCGTTGACATAAATGCCACGCCCATCTGGCCAGTCTCTGTTGATACCAGCACCAATGTTTAAATCGGTACATGGAACCTTGGAGAGTTCTTCTGGGGTAATGTTGCAGATAGAAGCTGAGTTTTGTTTATCTTTTGAAACACTTTTTGCAGCAATTACCGTTTTAACCCACAAAAGACCACACAGAAACTTGTATAGTCGATTCATATCACCATAGATTCTAGACTCAAACAGTCCCATGAGTCCACCAAACATCCTCTTCTTCAATGAAAAATAAGAACCTTGGTACTTTTCTGGTAAAAACGAGAAGGACTTCAGCAAACCTTTTTCCAAGTCAACTTTTTCACTTACATTGGAAACGGACATGAACCGATGCTCCTTTATGGACCTCGAAACAGCAAATTGTATTGACTTGACGATCTCTGGCTCGTGGCCAAAAGGCATTTCCAGTTTGGTGTAGTCAAAGCAAAACGGGTGTCTTTCTTCCTTTAGAGCTCTTGGAATATATACTGGCTCATACACTTTGGAGAATATTTTGTAGCAGTGAACATCTCCTGCTATAAAGTCGATGATGTTACCATTTACTCTACCAGGTGTTCTTACCAAAGCATGGTCTAGTTTAAAGCCAAACGGAGTCGATGTTTCTTGCAGCTCTTTAAACAGGGTCAAAGACATCGTTTCATTGATAAGAACACTCTTCGGTTTGATAACAAGGGGCTTCCTTTTTTCTGAAATATCAGAATACCATTTCTTAAATTTCAGTTGATAAAATTGCTTTTGAAACATTAATAATTTCTTTGTGCCTCATTTGTAGCATGTTTTGTGATTTAGTTCTTCGCAACATAACGAAACCCACACACATATGTACGGATTGCTATGTATTAGATCGCAAAATCTTCATTTCATTCTTGTATTTTCAGGTAAATATACAGTGAATTGAAAAAGAAAAATTTATTGAACTAGCCTATTGCTGAATTACACGAATTATTTGCCGCTGAATATCATGAATTTGAGTTTGAGGTCAAGATTCTGCAAGAATATTCATTAAAATGTGAAAAAGTGCGTGTTGGCCGAATAAGTAGCAGATTTTGGCCGTTTGAAGTCCTTCTGCAAATGAAGTTTAGTTTCTAAAGATTTATTTTTTCTTTTGCCCCTTTTTTAAGGATATGAATAGAAAGAGTTGACTTGATATTTACGAGATATAAAACAGAAGTTACAAATAGCTGCTTCACTCAAAGGGGATAGAATTAATCGTAATTTTACCCTTTAATGCTCTTCGGCGTAGTTCTTCCTTATCGTCTTTCAACTTTGCTATTTCCGGATCTTCTTCTATCAACTTTTTCTCCAATTCTACCAACTTTTCTTCTCTTCTCTTTCTCTTCTCTTCCGACAGGCGGGTCTTTCTGCCTTTTAAAATCGTCTTCACGATTGGCGGTGGCGTCGTGACTGACGCGACACTCGCCAGAACTAAACCGGCGAAGGCTGTCTTTAACAACCCGCCGATACTGAACTTAATCATGTTGCAAAGGATATGATTCCAAATCGTAGATAACTCCGAAACAAACAATACCTCTGGTCGATAAATAACTCGAAAAGAAGTGAAGGATAATCAGCAACTGGTCGGTACTAGTGGATATCAATGTGACGTCAGATTAGACAGAAGAGCCGGAAAGGAGACTGGGTCGATTTGACATTTGTAGTCACGTGTTAACTTAGGTTTTTTCTGAAAAATAACTGCTATTCATTCTTTCGTTTGTTTCGTGTTGCCTAACTCCATTTAATTATGGATATCCAGTTAGCCCTCGCAAAATATTCCGAGCTTTGGTATGTACCAATTTTGTTTATATGACTAAACCCCTTGAGAAAGAAAAGTACGGACTGTATAACGCGTCACGCGTCAACTATAAGCTCTTACCAACCTTTCAAGAAATAACATGTTGTGAATTGGGCGGGACATTGATGTGTACCACAGAGAGAAGCATGTTGATCTCAAATATATATATATGATGATTATACGTAATTTTTTACACTCAACAGAGAGAACCTCTCTCCATGCCTCGTGCAACTGACTCTAATCAATACTGACGACGGGAGGGCGCAATGCGAAGTGATCCCGGAAATGCCAAATATGGTAAAACCTTTGTGTCCCGGAGCCCATGAAGGTTTTCTGTCCCCTTCGCAATAGAACACATCGAAACATTCATGCTTCAATAGGGTATGGGATCTACTAAGAGAGAAGTTAAATCTAGATTTTGAAAGACTTTTTGGAAGGTTTTCGATTTTCGGTTCTGCAAGCGCTGGCATAATTATTTCGATTGCATTCAAAATTCACCCAATGTTTGGCTTTTGCAATTGTCATCATTCTCTAAGCAATGGACCCTCTCCATTTATATCAATTTCTGTATATTATCAAGAGCTGATGTTCCAAAAAGGCGGGTAGCAAAAATCACTTTTTACAAAGCAGTTTAAGATTTTCGTGCATTTTCCCCAAAATTTGAATATTTTCTATTTACTATAGGCTTTTATCATTAAAAAATACCTTACTTTACGATAAGCAAGCGCATCTAAAGCATTCGCTAATCAAGCAAAATTAGCAGTTTACGAAGAATGGATCAAAAGTTCACGAAAAATGGATCTAATCGAGCTTGTCAAGCTGAAAATGAGATGCATTTGCAGAACACAATATTCATATTTTACAGAGAATCTCGTTATTGTAATTTGCTTTTTTTGTTAATTGATCGCTAAACGGTTTTCACTTCATCGCGTTATAGTACAAGTTGCTCACGTCATCGTGTTTTGAACACCCTTAACCTCATTTTGACTGTGTAACAAGAAATACGTAGAATACCTCTTTCCTCGCATATTGAAATAAATCTGGTCACTTTTATTTTTATTTCTAACAGAAACAAAAGAAGGGATGATGAACTTATGTTGGATGATTTTTACGATCTGGATAATGTTTACCACGGCGATCAGTCATGGCGTTTCTATTATCCACAAGAACAACTAGAGTATTTTGAATCAGAATTTCAACCAAAAAGCAAAAAGAATGGAAAGAACAGATTTTCGATTCGCAGTAAGATTGAGAGCTTGCGAAGGAGCTTTTTCAACCCTGATACCCACGAAGAGGCAATTTACAGGAGCCCGTATGCATTACGTAGGGATTCAAAAGGAGGCTTCATAGAGAAGATTGAGAATTGGAGAAGAAGTTGGTTTGGAGGCGAAACCACGCCTAAACCGAATCGAAAATTGTCACTGAAGAATGACGAAGATGTGCAAAAGAGACGGAGGTCAGTGAATTCCCAAATTAATTGCTATCTCATATAAGCTGTTCTGCTCTTAGTGACGTTTTGAAATGACCATTCTCCTTTCATTACACCCTGTTGATAGATATTAGGAATATCCTCACGTAGCATTCACATATTCATTCGCTCATAAGTTTGACATCACTCAACTGATCATGTATTCCAACAAATAAATAGATGGGAGCCTTTAGCAAGAGTTTATTGTTACTAAGAAAGACTGATTACACTGTTTGAGATTATATTCTGACTCCATACTTCGGAAAAAATTTTATTACAAAGTTATGGGCTCATAGGAGTCTAGAAAATGCGACAACATAGGTTTGATAATAACTTTGATAAAGAAGAAACAGAATAACTTTGAAAAACTTTCCAGTCTCAGCGAAAGTGGCTTCAAGAGGCTCAGTGTCACGAGGAATTTCGTTGAAAGGCATGCAAATGCTGAAGAGATTTATGGCAAGTCGCCAATGACGTCCAGGAAAAGTTCACTTGATAATACCCCGCGACGAGAACAGATAGAGGTTCAAGCAATGGTCGGCTCAAGACGTTCATCTTTGAAGAAAGGCCAGCGTGTGACAGAAGATGAGCTTTGCGAGGAAATAGTAAGAAAACATTCATAATTCACATATCAGCACAATGATATCTTCCATTACTTTTCGGATTTCAAATTGCTCAGTGCAAGGACCTTTGTAGGCCTCAGGCTTGAAATTTGAAAATAAGTATTACATAATCTTTCAATGAATCAAAATTGACAGTTGAAATTGAAGACTATCTAAGAATGTCTCAGAAGAGCAAGAAAAGAGTAGAAATGAAGAATTTTAATTTGTTGCAGGTCTTCAAGCCATGTTTTGTTAGTTATGCATAAATCCACGGCTACATTGTAAAAAATACACTTTAAAATTCGGTTCTAGATAGGGGTAAAAAACGAAAAGGTAGTAGAGAAAAGCACAATGAGAACGTAAAGAGCAATATCCCCGCAGATATCTCAAACTGTCTGGTTAATATTTGAAAGCATTTCATAACTAACTTTCTTCTAAAGCAAATTTTGAATATTGCTTTTACTGTAAAAATGAAATTCTAAAGGTATGAATGTTACTATAATTTATTTAGTACCTAATTTTGACACTATTTGCTTCCTGCAAAGGTTAGACGACCAAGCATTGATCGTGAAATCTTGCAGAAGATTAAAGAAATTGCATCGCTTGATTACTGTTCCTCTGGAAGTGAAGATGATGTCTCAAAATCGCCTGTTGTAGCCCACACGCCATTGACGGAGAAAGTAGAGCCACCACAGGAAGCCCAAAGCACAGAATTCGAGGAAAGCACGAAGAAAAGTGAGAACAGTGAAGCCCAAAGTACAGAATTCGAGGAAAGCACGAAGAAAAGTGAGAACAGTGAAGCCCAAAGTACAGAATTCGAGGAAAGCACGAAGAAAAGTGAACACAGTGAAGCCCAAAGCACAGAATTCGAGGAAAGCACGAAGAAAAGTGAGAACAGTGAAGTCTTGGCAGAAAATACGAGAAAAAGTACAGGAATTGCAGGAGCACGATTATCTAAGAAACTTTCAAAGCAGGAAGCCGTAGATGAAGTATTCTATCAAACAATAATGCAAGATAATGACGAAACACGTAAAGCAAATCAGAGTGAAACTTTTGTTGGAGAGAGAAGTTTAGGCGAAGATGAGGTTCTAGATAAATACGAGGCACAAGAAAAGGCTGGAGTTGACGGAGGAGAACTTGTCTGTGAGGATGATGTCATCATTAAAGAGAGAGCGTGCGATCAACTAAAAGAAGGTATTGAACTGTTTAATGACAGCAGCGTTGAATCGGCAGAGGTTGAAGGAAAACAAGGCAATAAACAGCCAAACGGTACAGCGAATGAACAAGAAAACGATGATAGTGAAGAAGAAAGAGAAGTCGATGCATACAAGCAAAAATCAAGTGGAACTGTTTTTGTAAACAGAGATGGAAGCAATCGCGCTTCTACGGGATCAAAAATCGTTATTAGTTCAAAGTCAACAAAGCAGTAGAGGAAGGTTTTCGAAACCATGATTTCAGCGTGTTATACATGTTTCATAGTAAATTTGTTGAATTAGAAGTTTAGGTCTATGCCAATCGTTTTGAATTTCATCGTTTATATCACTAACGTTTGGATCTTAGTAGCATTTATCAATGAATAGGGAGCCAGCTATGCTGGTTTTTGCTTTGCTCTTACCAAGCCTTCAAGTTTAGTAAGTTGGTTTAAACCATCACGATTTTAACAAAATAGGTACACATCGACTAAAGCCTGAAGACGAGCTTATAGTGAAACCATGTATGAATGGAAGTAGGCCATCAATAGTAAACATCTGTTTGGAATATTTCTGATATCTTCTTAACCATATTTGCTGACATTGGTCGCTAAGGTATATTATGTTTACTTTCAATGCCTTGCTATAATAGTTGTGCATTGCACCGAAGCAAAAAGGTTTAAGGCAAAATTATACAACGACATGTCATTGACATTTTTAAAAAAATAAAAAGATGTAGGTAACGTATTGCCTTTATTGTTTGTTTATTTTCTCACTTTTCATACTTGTTAAACGCCCAGTTGACAAAATCTTGTGACAGAGACCGTCAATTTCAAATGAATCTTCATGAGGGCTCCAAATTTTTGGGCAAAATTTAAGCTCTGTAGGATTATGGGACGGGTGGTACGTTGACTGCTGACCTACACTAAAGGTAGTAGTACATAATGAAGATTATGACGGACCTAACCGTATCAAAAAATATCTTAAAAATTCAAGCAGTAGTATTTTGGCATAGTCTCGTTCAGCTTAAATTTAAGAAATGGCAATTGGTGCCAGTTGCATAGGTGCAAAAAAAGGGAGGTCCAGATGTTCTTCCTTTTGCAACCACCTTCTTTAAAATGCAAGAAAAAGCCCTTTTTCAAAAATTTGAGCAATCTTCTTTTAGAGCATATTGGCTTTTTTAGTCGATAATGTTAGGGAGTGGCCAAAAAGTTTCTAGCAATAGACAAAATATGACATTTTCAATTAAGGTTGGAGGATACAGACCATCCTAATTGCAAAAAAGGAGTAAAAATATTCAAGTCAGTATCATTCATGAAATCAGGAGAAAATTCAGGGTTACCTTTGCATGAATCGAAAACATGAGTGGGTTTATTTTGATTGAACCTAGCTAGATTGTATTCGCTCTATTTTTTGATTACCATCATATCATCATTAAGAAATGAGGCCGAGACATTTTTTCACAGTGAAGAGTTAATAGCAGAATTAGTTTGTGGGAAATAAGGAACGAAAGCTGAGTTTCATAAGCAAACGCATGAATACTGTAGACGTGGAAGAAAGATGATGATTGATGAAAAGGACTAGAGTTATGATAGAACCCTGTGGAACACCATCCATGATTGAGTTGGCATCGGAGAGGTAGCCAATGAATCTAAAAGCTAGGGCCTATCAGGAAAAAGGTTGCCCATCTAGTTTATAAGGAGTTCATAAATCCTTTGCAAGTCCTCCTTTTCTTTTATGTTTATATATCTATATACGCTTTTGGTGTATAGAGCAGGTGGGTTCTCCTCCTGTCAAACAATCGCAATGACTTACCTTATCTCTAAGACAATAGAGAACATCAACATTACCACTTTACAAACCCTTACCATCTTTAAAACCAAATAACTCTTTACAAACTGCCTTGAAATTGCAAGCCAGAAAACTACCTTTTCATGAGTTAAATGTTTATGACTTTCTAATGCAGATTAAATCACTTTAGTCTCACATTGAAGAATCATATGTACGGTAATGGAAGTCAGACGCAGAGCAGGCATCTTAGTTTTAAAAGAAAAGGTATTTTTGTGTCACTTTCAATATACCAAGTATGCCACCAAACTGTAGAGCGGGCATAATTTAAAGACCAGTTAATACTTTTACTGCCCTCAGCCAAAAGTTGTTCCTGCCTTTATCAGTCAACGAGATTAGACTGGAGTGCTTAACGTTAGTTAAACCACGAGAGACCTCACCGACGTAGGCAGATTGTAAAGGATTTTTTTTTACATCCTTTGAAAATTACAATACAAATTCACAAGTAGCGCTGCGCACGAAAAAGGTCAAAGGGATGATACAACGGGGATGCAATATACAACGGGGCATCAAAAAAGCTAATATTTACATATGTGCTATTAGAACGGTCTAAATTTGAACTTCTAGAAATGTAAAACAACATTGATGGCTTACTTAGGTATAAGGCAAGAAACTATGTTGAAAACAGCTAGTTCTGTTTATAAAACATTTGTTCTGTTACCTTAACACTGCATCTATTCAGTTCGTTGCAAACGTGGAGGTGGGAGGTGGGATGTTGTTGGGGCACATGTAAGCAAAAAAATATCCGCCTCAACATGCAAATAGGCACTTTTATTTTGATCCTAAAAAGTAGGGCTAGGTGCGTTCCCATTGTGACCCCTGGAAGCTAGGTCCATGAGAAAATATGCCACATCACCTGGTAGCATTAAATCATATACAGCAATTTATGACAAGGAGCAATTTGCCAAAGGGTAACATTTGCCAAAAGCCAACCAATTCTGTCGGTGACTTTTTTCCATATTTGTAGGACTCGTGTCATCGGGCTATACAAGCGCTTTGAGAATCTAAGATCTAAAATCATTCAAGTTTCTTCTAAGATAAAAAGCGATACCCTTATTTTATTCATAAAATATTCTAGCTTGTTTCGATTTCTTCAATTTCCAAAAATTGGCAAGAGCTTCCATTTGATCTGTTATTACTATATTATCCTGAACTTTCCCTTCTTAAAAAAGAAACTGGAACATGAAACACCTCAAGATATGTTAAGAGGGCTCAGTGGATGTCTCATAATTAGATGGAGTTGGGCAACAAGAAGTAAAGGAAAAGATGAATAACAGGTACATTTCCGAGACCATCTTAGTGAGCACGTGACTACAATTATCAAATCGACCCAGTCTCCTTTCCGGCTCTTCTGTCTAATCTGACGTCACATTGATATCCACTAGTACCGACCAGTTGCTGATTATCCTTCACTTCTTTTCGAGTTATTTATCGACCAGAGGTATTGTTCGTTTCGGAGTTATCTACGATTTGGAATCATATCCTTTGCAACATGATTAAGTTCAGTATCGGCGGGTTGTTAAAGACAGCCTTCGCCGGTTTAGTTCTAGCGAGTGTCGCGTCAGTCACGACGCCACCGCCAATCGTGAAGACGATTTTTAAAGGCAGAAAGACCCGCCTGTCGGAAGAGAGGAGAAAGAGAAGAGAAGAAAAGTTGGTAGAATTGGAGAAGAAGTTGATAGAAGAAGATCCGGAAATAGCAAAGTTGAAAGACGATAAGGAAGAACTACGCCGAAGAGCATTAAAAGGTAAAACTACGATTAATTCTGTCCCCTTTGAGTGAAGCATTTATTTGTAACTAATGTTTTATATCTCGTAAATATCCAGTCAGCTCTATCTATTCATGTACTCAAAAAAGGGGCAAAAGAAAAAAAGAAATCTTTAGAAGCTAAACTTTATTTGCAGAAGGACTTCAAAATGTGTAATTCAGCAATAGGCCAGTTCAAAAAATTTTCATTTTTCAATTCACTGTATACTTATGAGAAAATACAAGCGTGAAATGAAAATTTTGCGACCTATTACATAGCAATCCGTACATATGTGTGTGGGTTTCGTGATGTTGCGAAGAACTAAATCACAAAACATGCTACAAATGAGGCACAAGGAAATTATTAATGTTTTGAAAACAATTTTATCGACTGAAATTTAAGAAATGGTATTCTGATATTTCAGAAAAAAGAAAGCCCCTTGTTATCAAACCGAAGAGTGTTCTTATCAATGAAACGATGTGTTTACCCCTGTTTAAAGAGCTGCAAGAAACATCGACTCCATTTGGCTTTACACTAGACCAAGCTTTGGTAAGAACACCTGGTAGAGTAAATGGTAACATCATCGACTTCATAGCGGGAGATGTTCACTGCTACAAAATGTTCTCCAAAGTGTATGAGCCAGTGTATATTCCAAGGGCTCTAAAGGAAGAAAGACACCCGTTTTGCTTTGACTACACCAAACTGGAAATGCCTTTTGGCCACGAGCCAGAGATCGTCAAGTCAATACAATTTGCTGTTTCGAGGTCCATAAAGGAGCATCGGTTCATGTCCGTTTCCAATGTAAGTGAAAAAGTCGACTTGGAAAAAGGTTTGCTGAAGTCCTTCTCGTTTTTACCAGAAAAGTACCAAGGTTCTTATTTTTCATTGAAGAAGAGGATGTTTGGTGGACTCATGGGACTGTTTGAGTCTAGAATCTATGGTGATATGAATCGATTATACAAGTTTCTGTGTGGTCTTTTGTGGGTTAAAACGGTAATTGCTGCAAAAAGTGTTTCAAAAGATAAACAAAACTCAGCTTCTATCTGCAACATTACCCCAGAAGAACTCTCCAAGGTTCCATGTACCGATTTAAACAATGGTGCCGGGATCAACAGAGACTGGCCAGATGGGCGTGGCATTTATGTCAACGAAGACCAAACGTTATGTATTGCAGTCAATAGAGATTGTCACCTAAAAATTTATCTCAAATGCGAAACTAATGACACTCTGGATTCCTTCAAAAATCTTTGTGCTGTTTACCGCGGGATTCAACGCGGGTTACAACGGGAAAATCTTCACTTTGCATATGATGACAAATTCGGCTTTGTAAACTGGAATCCAAACAAGATTGGGAGCAATTTGCAACTCTCGGCCAAAGTTGATCTTCCTTTGTTGCAAAACCACGAAATGCTTAGGGTATATCTTTGTGTGAACGGCTTGCAAGGAAAGTTTCTCAATGACGAAGTTGATTCTGTGGAAATCTTCTATGAATCATCGTACGGAGAAGCAGAAACTGAAATGGTACGGTCCATGACTTTCGCATTGCGCATGCTCACAAGATTGGAGAACAGATTGGATGCCGGGGTATTCTCAGATCTTGATATTCCTTCAAGGTTTTTTGTCGAAAGGGCAGCCCCTTATTTAGATGACACCATCATCACCTGATGTTTCAAAACTTTAGTATCAACGGAAAAGGGAAAGGACAATGGCGGGAGAACGATTTATGGCTTTTAATGAATATCAGTTATTGAGAAAAAAGACTCTTAACTAGTAGGAGGTTCGCAAGAAAAGACAAGACAGATTCGAAGTGACTCAGGAATGATTGAATTCGTTCGTAGAGACACTAATGTCATGGAGGGAAAGGAGATATCGCAACTCTCTAAAGGCTTGTTGTTGCTGTTTTAGCAACTCGTTTGCTTTTGGACTGTTGTGGTAGTTCAATTGAACCTTTTTACTACGTTTAACATTATATCTGATATTCATCATTGTCCTTGCTTATTTTGTATTCATCAAATGTTATTCTTTATAATGGAGAATTGTTTTCTATTGTTCTACTTAACTTAACACTAACATATTAACGCGATATATTAAAGGAACGGGGCTCATCCCTAAGCGAGCTTTTGATAAAGATATGCAGAGCAACCTTTTCTTTCACCGCAAAAAGTTTGGTTTCCGAGATCACTTTTACACACAATCTATGAGAAGTAGGATAGCTTTTAGAACTGTAACCCCCGGTGCTTACTTCTTGAAGTTATATTTTCTGGTGGGGGACTTTTTGAGAGGGGAAGACACATGCAACGGTAGGGGTTTATCTAGAAGCAGCCAAAAATATAATTAGGATAAATTTTCTTTCTCTACTTAAGGCTGGTCAGTATTCTCAAAATGCACATATATTCGGATAAATTTATAGTTGCCAAGTAAATACCTCAATTCATGGGGGCCTTTTCAAAGTCGGGGAGTATTTAACAAAAATAACTTTAGGCGGGGGGTTGTTAGAGGGAGGGGGTGCTTATCTAAAGATTGGGGCTTATTTGAGGACTGACGGTAAATTTTGGAAGAAGAGATACGCAGCAAAATGTATTTCTGTTATAAGGCAAAGATTGATTACCAAGTAGTGTTTGCCAAGAATGTAGTGATTGAAAGAACATTGAAAGATAGAATTTCCTTGTCATTCGGATGTTTTAGAGTCTATTTAAATCTACATTAACTACAAAAAATTTCGTCGTGACAAAATTTCGGACAAATATTTTGACGAAATTTTCTTCGATGAAATTATAAATAGGACTTAATTTGGCCACGACGAAATTTTTCGCATTTAAGATTTTTGAGAATTTGCATAAAAACACTCTTATATGAGGATAGGAATAAAATTGATGTGTCCTTTTTATCTTTTCAATGTCAACTACGTCCTTTTCCTCATTGACAAAGTCTCGGTAATTATCTTTACTGTCGGCATCATGATCATGATCATCATTTTCTGACGTTCTAAAGGGTGTAGACTCTAATTTTCCTATGATCAAAGCGTTTTTGCCTCCCCCCCCCCCATCTTACCACCTTGGCTACCTGTTTTAACTGTCTTTTATCGACGGTTCAAACGATTCCACCCTTACCTTCTTTTATTCAACTTTACTATTTCTTTCCTTTGCTAAAGGTATTTGCATTTTTCAACCCAAGGAGATGGTTTTATGCTTTTCGAATCTTATACTTATATTCACACTTTTACTTTAAATTATACTTTGTCTATAAACTGTCATACCATTTAGATATAGAGTAGAGACTCTTTGAATGCTAAAGCATTTCTGTTGACCCTGCCTTTGCATAAACTGAGTAAATAACCGCTTTAATTTGGTTTTTTCTGACATGCTGCCTGGGGGGTTGGCCAAATTCGAAGCGGGTGCTCAAGCCCCTAAGTCTTTACGAAGTCGGTACCTTTGGGATTGAGTAAAAAGCGACCTGTATAATTTTTCCTTTAAAGATTTTTGTAATATGTTGCTATCTTTTGCTTAAAAATTCCCGACGAAATTCGGAAAAGTTGTCCAGAATTTTTTTCTAATTAGCCTTAAGAAAAAGAATTCTCTAATTAAGGCGCCACGTAATTGAGCCTTAAGGGAGGGAGGGGGGAAGTTGGCTAAGAATCAAGTTTAGTGACATTTTTGAACCGACGCGGAACAACATTTTTGAACAATTAAGCCTTCTAGAATGGCTAAAAATGCATCTCCCAGACTAAAATTCAACAAATTACTATGCTGCTCAAAATAGACAATTAGAGGGTTTTCAGAAAAAACATTGATTGTTGATTTTAAGAAAAAATTTGGGTGGGATAGAGTCATACTAAAACTTTAGTGACAGACGTAAAAGAAAGAAAGAGTGGACGACCTTTGGTTCAGATTGCACATCGATGTGAATAGCAAGAAGCTGTTGCATTGATTTTGAGAATTTTATTTCCAGAACAGAAGTATGCATCCACTTTGTCTCGAGTATTTTCAGTAAGCCGTGTTTATTCACAAAAAATGCAAACATTGCATTGATACGAAAAATTATCTACTGAATTGATGCAAATGATAGAGAAATAACTTAAATTTATCTATATTAGTGAGTAAATAGATCAAATAAAATCAAGCTGTATAAAGACAGTTTGTACTCATTTTTAATTCATACTCTGTTTTTAAAAATAATAAAAATGACCGCCAGAAAATGCGTATCTCTGAAAGTGTTGGGGACTTAAGCTCTCCCCCCCCCCACCAGCTGCACCAGTGGTGCCGTGCCTGTAGGGAAGCATGGACCAAGGTACAAGAATCACTCTTTTTAAGTATTTTTTCTAAAAGAAAATTCATCAACAAGGGTAAATCAAGAAGTAGAAGGAATCGAACTTGACGATTTGAAACGAAATACCCAATTGACATTTATTGCACTGCACTGAATTCTATTGCTTTTTCCGTATGATATCATCTTCTAAAAAGTTTTACCCATAAAAATATTTACAAGAGATCATACAATGAATTTGTAACTGTAACCCTGAAAAGAATCCATGGTTAATTTATTGCTTGCATCTGGTGTTTGATAAATTTTGCATGATGAACAAATTTAAGGAGAAAAAAGTAAACAAAAATTTCAAGAAAAATTGACATTTTTAGTTTGTCGCATAAGGAGCTGAGATTCACATTCTAAAACAGATGTTTGCCTCAAATTTTTGAGCATAAAATTGTCAAGGACACTTAGTTGTAAGCTCTGAAAATCATCACAATGCGTTACCCCACCCCTACTGACTCCACCTTAAAGCTACATGCATATTAGAAAGCTAGATACAGAAAACAACCAGTCATTAAATCTCAGCATATCTGCAGAGGGTGAATTAATGCCTATATTGCCTATATTGACCGTACAATTGAATGTGGCATGAGAAGGCATTAACCTAAAAACCGATGCTTCAAAAATCTTGATTTCATCGAATGTATCATATAATGTTATTTTGGGTAAGTTTTTAGGCAATAGAATAATACAGTTTATAGATAAATTTTTATAAGTTGCTTTCGCCAATCATCGTCAAATGACTTAACTAGTTGGCAAAGAACAGCGATAAACAAAACCCCGTTCACAACATGCTAGCTTTCGATAAACCCTGCTGAATTTTACATATCACAGTCTTAACTTTAGTAAATCCATTAGTAGCAAATGTAATAAGGATGATCAAAATTAAGAACAGGCTAAAGCTTCTTAACTCAGTCGTCCGTCAGCATCGGCTACGAGTAATGTTGTAATCAGACTAGGACACTGGGAACGCTCAACAAACTCAAGGCCTGCTTGTAAAGGAATTCCTCTCAAAGTTGTTGCCTTGCTTGTTGAAACAAGACTTAGCATGAGCCACTAGTTACTGTCTATGGCAATGGTTCGATTAGGCCTGAAATCAACCGGTGACAGGTAAGGCTGTTTCTTACATTGAGATTTACAATAAGGGATTCTTATGGACCGAAAATCCTCCATATTTGGGCAACCTTTTTTGTAAGAAACGATCAAGCGAATTGGAACTTCTAGAAAATGTTTGTCCGAAAGTAACATTAATTTTTCTCGAAGTTGTGAAGCAAACATGTAGCGAGTGATCTTGTCAACGTGATGGTACAATCTTGCCAAAAAAAGCTGAAGTGCCTTAACCTGAAGACATGCAAACGGTAGAAGACAAACCTAGAACTGCCTTTTGCGTATATTACACTTGCTTCCAAACGTTTAGCACCCCTCCCAATCCAGTGTTGATTTCTTATCTTAAAGGTTGCTACAGAACCAATTTGTTACAGAACCAGTGACAAAATTTCTATCTTTAGCCAAAAATTGGTGGGAATTAGCAACTTTGTGATAAGGAAACAACTCTGCATTTGTTCTCTAGCAAAATTTGGCAAAAACTATAGGCTACATGACTCTATACCAATTAAGAAATTACCGCAGTAAATAGTTCACTTAAGAAAACAAATACATAAACACTGTTACATACGACAAACTACGGACAGATATTATCAATTTTATGTACAAGTAATTATATTAGAAATAACTTTACTTAAAAGCTCAATTCTTGTGGTAGCATCCTCATACAGAGAGCTGTTTACGTTTATATCTCGCTGCAACCATTTTCATTTTGTGAACTATTTATAAATTAATGATAATTTGGAAGCTGCAAATTACCCATTCCACCGGTTAGGCCTAAAGTTAATGAGCAAGTGCCTAACATAATGAATTGACTTTTGCCGAGGAGACTCCCTTATTCAACCACTCTCGGTATGAGACCTATTCAATGCCAAACATCGATATTGGGACAAATCAGAGAGCTTTCTATCGAAAAAATATTTTCGTTAGAAGTCGTTCTTCAAAATTTACGAGCGAATTTTTAAAAAAATTTAATAAACCTCCCTTGCTCTCATTTTTAAAATGTAAAAGCACTTTAATGGTACTTCCCCCAAGAATATATCGAAGCTATGTTACTGTTTGACGGTCAATATTAGATGTAAACAAAAAATCGGCTTATTGTAAAGTAAGTATGTTTTATTTTCCATTTAGCCTGCAAATTGAGAACCGATTGTAAGCTGTCTTGGACAAGAGGGCGGCGTCCATCTTTACTGTCTTCGTTTGCTAAGCTAGGAATATGATCCAACACATCGTCTATCCTTTTGTGTATTAAACAACCACAATTATCTTTCTTCAAAAAGCAGTTGGGCATGGAAGCTGTAAGAAATCGTCGCTTTGCGCCGAATCCGACCAGGAAACACCACCTGTGAGTTGCATTGTACTTGTGATTGTTTATGGGATGGCTAGGCCGACGAAATTCTAGTAAAAATATGTTGAGCATTGCTTTAGTAGCATGATACTGATCTGTGTTTTAGAGCTACGGCATATTTTCGGCATCTAGTTTACAGCTTTGTATTTAGGCTGACAACTCATTATTCCATTTAGGCACCTTCTCTTGTGTTTGTGCGTTTAGTAAGCCTGAAGCACACGTAGAACGCTGTTATACTTCAACTGTAGCATGTTTGCTGCTTCTGAAAATTTGCATCAGTGACGGACTATATGATATTTACTCAGTACTTATAAGAAAGATACTATTTAATTCTGCAATAAAACCACAGGTTCTTTAAAGCAATTAACATAAATAGTTTATCTGCCTTAACTTTTAATGAAATCCGTAACAATTTTACTTCCCAAATTCAAGAGTAAATAAGTTACAGCCCGATGAAAATATTTCGATTTTTCTATCATATTTAAGCTTAAGAGGTAGTCTTTGTTCTCATTGAAAATAAATAGCCATGGATCAGTGAATTTTTAATCAGATTGCTACTTATCGTTTTTGTATTCTCCAGCTTCGTTTAAATCGTTTTAAGAGGGCTCTTATTTGCAAAATTCTTAAGGTCTGGTCTCATTTTGGATGTTCATGAAAAGCTACTGTTGCAAAGCCTCACCTTCTCATTAACCATAGATGCAGGAGGTATGGAGCGCCTTTTCGCAGGATTTGAAAACATTGCAAGAGCAATGCCATATTTGCATGTTTCACACCGTGGTGCTTGTGCCCTTATACACGAGTGCTCCTTTGTAGTTTAAAACAGAATTTGCAAAGGACCTGTCTGCTAATAGTTATCCAACGATAATTTGTTCTATCGAATTAAGAAAGTTAAAAAAGCCACAGTTATCTTTCTGCTTGCTTCTCACGACTAGGCCTTTCTGTATCTTCTAAACCTAATTTAAGTCTCACATTTCTTTAATTGCTAAATATTTCTCTCAAAAACTTGGGTTATTCTCTAGAGCACGTGGATTCTTCTCACCGTCTCAACTTTTAACAATGTATAAGTCCCAAGTCCGTCCTTCCTTGGAGTACTGCTTCCATATCTGAGGTAGTGCTCCTAAATATTCCTTGCGCCTGCTTGACACAGTCCACTCCAAAGCAATTCGCCTCATCAATAAAGGTAGCCTCACCAAGTCTCTTCAGCCTCTTTCTCATCGGCGCTTTGTTCTTGATATCGCTATTTCTATAAATCTTGCCATGGCCATTACTCTCAGGAGATCTAAGATATGATCTCAGGTCCCCCTGAAACATGCTCGCGATACCAGCCATTCTTCCAGTGCTTACCCTTTCTAAGCCTCTTTGCCAAACGCACTAACTCAATCCCACAACTCTTCCTTCCTTCCAAGAACTTGTAAACTTTGGGAGGAATGCTCTACCATCTTCCTGTTTCCCAGACTCCTACAATTTGCTTTATTCAAAGCCAAAATAAACAAGTAGGAAATAAGAAACACCGCAATGCGCCCAGAATAAACAACAATAAATTCACGTAATTTAGTGAAGGCTAATATTTCGTTCAGGCATACGGGGCTTCATCAGAGCAAAATTTAACGGACTAAAAATGTATACATCTAAATAAGAAGTGTACATGGTGGCGTCGGATTACTGAAACTGAACGACAAACGATAGAGTGTCCGACGAGCCAAAGAGCAATACCTCATTGGCCTGGCAAACACTCTCACACCGAACGGCATGAACAGAACCACTGACCGTTAACCTTACAGCAACGTTATCATTATTTCATATTATAGTACTTCATCCTCATAACATTTTTATTCCACCACCACCACCCACGCTTTCTCATTCGCCACCCTTCCCTCCTCCACCGCTGCGCTGCATCCACACCATTCCACAAAAGCCAATCCGACAAATTTACATTTTTATCGGCTTTTCGCCGCAGGAACTCCTTAGAGCCCGTCGAGCAGTTTGGTTCCGTGACCTTTTCTTCATTCAAAACAAAAATAAACAATCTTGATATTCTCCCTTTCTCTTTCTATTCCTCCTCCCCTTCCCTTGTCAAGGCTTAGCTTAAGGTTTTTGAGCCTTTACCTGCCTTCACCAACTAAAAAAAAAGAAATAAAACAAAATTGTGTGTATAGGTCATCAACGCTTCGTAAGCATGTCAGCTTTTTAGAATAAGTAATCACGGAGTTGACAAAATGATTCAGAAATTACATCTTGTAGGCTTATGCTGCGGAGGTATTTATTGTTTTCAAACAAGTATTGCATCTCTTTTAGTTGCTTAAATGGTTCATTGATTTTTTTCGATTAGTGATAGCCAGTCAACAAGCAAGGGACTAACGCACCTGGAGACACGCTCTTCACTCGCAGACGGAAACAAGCGTACACGAGAAACCTTGCCGTTTTCTTCCTTCAAACAAAGATGGACAGGCGAAAAGCAAGCAGTCGGGACAGACACCCACAAGAGTCTTGCATCCTTACGAAGCATAAATAGTGAAAATAGGAGCCTTGGATCACTGCTCGGGAGGAATAGGGGTGATAATGCCGGGTTAGGCACGCCTCTCTCAAAGTTAAAAGAACTGCGCCAAAGTGAGGCTCGCAATGCGAGTAGAACGTGCTCTGGCATCAGCAGCCGTTCGAATTTCAGTTTAGCTGAACGGTTATCTCAGACATCATACGGTCGGGACAAACCTCTTTTTCAACATCGTCGCACAGCAGCTTCTCAGCTGAGGGAAATTAAGCAGATATCGCGTGATGGAAGCATTATAACGAAAACAAGTCAATCTGCTTCACTAAGTCAAGAGAAAAGCACTGGAACGAGATCTCGCGCAGGCAGTGGATCTTTGAAGGAAGACGTTCTATTGGGAAAAGCTATCAGTTCAAAGGTATCCGGGGAGTGGACGACATTAAGAAGAGAAACTACTGAAAGTGATAATGATGAGAATGCTGAAGGCCAAACTGGTATTGGCAGCAAATTGAGAAGCCGAAGATACGAGCGTAGCTACGGTGATTACGTATCAAAACGATCGGAAATCAGCAAACGATCAGAGCAAAAAGGTGACAGGGAAACGTCAAAAACCCCTCGATCGGATTTGACAGACACAGCATCAAGGGCAAGTGAACTTTTGCAACGAATATTAAGTGATAAAAGCCGCCCGTTTCCCAGTTTGCCTATCGATCCTAACTTGGAAGTAAAGGAAAAAATCGAACCAAAACCCGAGGAGAACCTTGAAAATGAGCCAAAATGTAGTAGTCTGACCATCAAAAATAAATCTGAGCACATCATACATAAAGAAGTTCAGGCAATAAGTGACAGCAGGGTGCAGCATACACAAACAAGTGCTTTAGCCCAAAGGATAGAAGAGAAGGTTCTGCGTATGCCAGAAGATTCAGTAAGTAGCGAGACCCCAAGCTTTGAACGATCTCGTGAAATTGCCAGTAAGATTTTCCAAAAACTTGATTCTAAAAAGGACATAGAAGCAATTCCTGCATTGCAACGGTTGAATAAAAGCAAATTAGACACCGATTCAACAACTGAGCAGCTTACGGTAGAGAAAGTTAAAGCAGCCGAGAAACAAGAAATATTCAAGAAGGATGAAGTTGAAGTAGGTAGTGATCACAAAGAAGAACAGAAATCTGAGAGAGATAGGCAAGAAGTATTATTGAAAATACATAAAACAAAGGCTATAAGTATACCGCCAGCCGTGTCCAACATAATGAAATGCAGTAAATCTGCCGAGGCTGAAGTAAAAGTCACGAAAAAAGACGTAGGGGACAAGGAACCCAATGTTGTGTGTTCGGTTGAATTTCAAAGCGATGTACACGGAGTTAGAAGCCATGATAAAACTGATGCAGGAGGACAACGCCCCAAGACAGAGCCTATAAACATACCACCTGCTGTGTTACCAAAGCCTAAATCGCCGAAATCGTCTATAGTTCTTGGAAGTGCAGACAAAATAACAGTTTCAATCGAGCAACCAAAAGACGAGGAAGTAAATGACAATGTCTTCAGTTCACCAGAGAGGTTTGTTCTGTTTGATTAATATGAGATTTGGAAATATGTAAATTTTCATAAGACGAAAAAACCAGGGCTAAAATTGACTGAAACTCAACTTAAGTAGGGAAATACATACGCATAGAAAAAAGTGGGAAGCTGTATTTTTAATCGACATATCCGTTACTCGATCCAAGCAAATTAGACATAATGAATTATATCCCAATGAATTTCGGATATAAGGTCACTGTTGAAAAGGATAAGGAATGCGGAACAATTTCTAAAAAAATATATGAATAGCAAATGCGCCCCAGAGCCTTTTATTAGCAAGAACTGTGGACTGCCGGGAAAAAGTAATGATATCTGTGAATTTTAGCTGCTTATCAAGCCACAAAATCAAAATGTCTTTAGAAAGAAATAATGAAATAAAATTGAAAATTAAGAGGATGAAAAGTATTCTATTTGCTGTTGAACTGTTAAATTCATCGACGTGATATCGACGTAAAAGTTTGCAAATATTTCTATAAAACAGTCATCTATATACAACTGGAGAGTCTCAAGTTTTTGAACTTGATTGAGTAGTAACTCTGAAAAAAATCTGCGATCTGTCAGATACAAAAAAATAATGATACTTTTTAATGGCTATTGGACAATCTGTATTTCATTTCCATCCAAGAATTGGAGAAAGTGCTGTAACTTTGAAGTAAGGCAAGCAGTTCTGATAAGCTGTTAACATTGTGTACTTTGTAGTTCTCTCATTAACCACAAAAACATCAAACTTTGATGACGCATTTCAAATCTGCATAGCTAAAGAAATACTTTCTGGCAATGTTTTCTCTTAACGGCCTTTTGTCTTTTCTCCAACAGATGCGAGAGTTCGATCGAGGAGCCTGAGCAGATGAGTGTTGCCAGTCTTAGAAATTCTTTATTTGGTGGAAACTCTTCACTAGACAAGATCTTTAGCAGAGGTATGGGTGGAACACTTACTGGCTCTCCAGTTTTATTAAGGAAACAATTGATGGTTGAGAGGAGGCAGGTTGTGTCCAGTGTGGAAATAACGCAACATGGCAAGACTGCTATGTCAATGGCCCAGATGTCATTTAGAGTGGAAACAAAGAGCGAGTCTGACTCTGCGGTAAGACGTTTTTCAGATCATTGTATAGAGGAAATAAAATACTTATACTAAAGCCTAATTTTTTCATGATAAAGCCTGCTAAGAATCTTTTTGTTACATCAACCTAGAGGCTACATTACCCTGAAGGCCTAACTAAGAAAAGCTTGTGTAAGAAGGAAGACACGCAGGATAGGCTGTCCGCCGGATTGTGTGAATCTTGCAATGAGTAATAATTTTAAGGTAATTGTAAGGATGAAGCAAAATGACGATGAGACTCCAATGTTGTGTAATAGAATTTTAAAATGAATTACATTTAATATATAGACGACATTATAGTTGCTGTTGTGACTAGTATTGATTCTGGCGGGAATTTTTAAAGTGTAAAATTGCTCCAGTTAATGTAGGAATTTTGCAAGGTTTTGCCATTTAGATATCCAATCATTGGAATAACAACAAAACTTGGAGAGCTAATAAGTCCTACTGAGGTCTCACAACCGCTGGTGATTTTCTTCAACACCACTAACGTTTTTTGAGATGTGGAAACTTGTGTTCATCATCATACCTTTTTCCAACCTTTGAGGGTGATTCAAATTGGGTTGATTTGTAAACCCAGCCACTTATTTGCAGAGATTGCTTCATCATAAATTGAAAAAAAGTATCTCAATTAGTTTAATACACTATATAATCTTATAAACAGCCCCAAATATGTGAAATGTCAAAAGAAAGGAGATCTTTACAACATTGACTCTGCAAGACTTCGTGGCGATCTTTTTTGAGCTTGATTTTTAACCTAATGTATTTCAGGTTGACGATACTTCCAATAAAATTCATTAGGCTAAAGATAGTTGGGCTGGAAGATTGTAATCCATTAATCATGGTTTATTCTAAGAGTGTGAAATGCACTCAACAAACGTTGGGTGCCAAGTATTGTAAACCTTAAACCGTGTGAGTTGAGAAATATAAAACCGAAGAATAATTACCACGAAATGAACAGAAACAATTTCATTATAAGTTCTTACTAATGCTTGATTAAAAAACCCAATTTTGAAAACCACACCTCGTCAAACGTGCTATATCGTTAGAAAAAGACTGGGGAGAGTGCAGAATAACTACTAATGGCTAAAGCTGCGAAGCCACTTTACAATAACAATCAATGAAAATTTATATTTAGAAAAACGTCTAACATTCAGGAAATTGAAGCATAATTAAAAATGATGCAGTATAGCTACATAATTAAAGATATTGTTTTAATTGCAGATATCAACAGGCGATTCAGAGCTACTTCCTACACTGTTCACACGTTTTGAAAAACCTAAAAAGCCAAAGACGTCGCCCAAACCACGTGTTGGAATGAAAACAAGTCTTCAGCCAGTAACCTTGCAAGTAAAGCTAAATGAAAAAGATGGCGCCGAGAAAGGATCATAAAGAATTTATCATATAATCAAATGATGATTTTGTTACATAAGCGAACACAGGTTTTCAGTTTTTGATTGGTAGCATGTCTTTGAAACATTAATATACCAATTATGTGAGTTGGAAGAATGCTCTGCACAAAAGGTGGCTTTGCAGCGTGCATCATCTTTGTACATTATTGTAGTTTGTATATAAATACTCTTTTGCGAGGTATAGCTGCTCTCTTAACTCAACAGAATCTGCTCGATGCTACAATGGTAACATTCTTGAATTACATGCCATTTCTGCAAAGCCTCCAGGAGGCTGTGTCTGGGCTTGGCATTCTCTTGCGAAAACATTTTAATTGTTTTCTGATAGGGCTATTAAAATGTCAAAGTCAGCTGGCACAAGTACTCTAGTATACTAGTACCCTAGCAAGTTTGGTAAGAAATTTGAAATGAAACCTCTGCAATGCTATCAATGGTAGGTTTTTTCAACTGTAGTGACTGGGGTATGTTTTCTTGCAAATAGCGCGAGTGGTCGTGAGTAAGTTACAGAATAGAGAGCTTCTTTAGTGCATTAAAAACAATACTTAATCTTTCAGGTAAGAGGTTTTAAGCCAAGTGCCAAGTCAACTTTATTCAGTTTAAAAGGAAAACGAGCTGCTATTCATTTCGTATTTTATCACATTTTCATTAAATCCCAAGCCACAAAACTTTTTCTCAACCACAAAGTTGGTTTTGATCACTAACTTTAAAAGAAACCTAGTTTTAATGAAAGGAAACCTTTTGTAAAATTTTGATATGAATCAATTTGGAGCAACTGTATAACCCAGGACGTTATAATTGTATGTTGTAATGTTATCTCTGCACTTTACAATAAGTGTTTGATAACCAAACATAACTAATTAAACGTAAGTTAGACCACAAAAAGTTTGTTCTTATGGAACTGTCAGTATACATTGTTCAAAGCAGTAATAGGTACTAAAAGTCCAATCTGATCCGCAGAAAAGTCTTTACTCTTTGGCAGCACCTCTGAGGTATGTCGTAGTCTGATAAGCATGCTTCCTTTTTACTTGCATTCAATTTCTAGCTTCACAAAACTGCCTATATACGTAATCACCTGTCATTTTCTTACCAACTTTCCTTTCTCGCAGTTCTAACTTCCTCTTACCCACAAATGCAACATTTAGTTGCTTCTTTCCATATTTTATTTTCATTTTTCTTTCTTTCGTAATTACACAAATACTCATTTACACTTTCATATGCTACCTATGTCCTTCTAGCCACATAATTTCAAACTTATCTTTTGTTGATTAAGATATTCAATTTTCTTACTTATTTATTAAGTGTGGTATAAACCATAATAAGGAGAAGTTCGTAGGAAGGGATATTTTTGAAACTGTTGTAAGTCTTCTTGAATAAGAGGTTTACATGTTTTTCTTAAAAACCAATGACAATGGAACATATTATTGTTCCTCAAAATTTCATTAATTGCAATGTGCACCATAAATAATGCACCATCTTTGACTGGGTATCTTCTTCATTGCGGTCAAAAAGAGGCCAATATATTGAGTTATATAAGTGCTACACCATAAAATACTTTAAAAAATGGCTTTGTTTGAAAGCAAGGGACATCAAAACAGAAAAGGCAATTTTGCTGAAGAATATTTATCCGATCAATTTTGCCTAGAAGAATACCTTATGAAATAATCTCATTTCACATTGCTAAAATAAACCTTCCTGTGGGCTCACTACTCAATCTTGAACAGTAATAAATTCCTTGGATATTTCTGTACAAAGTAATGTGCTGTAGTCAAATTACTATTCAAATTTTACCCACTGATTGTCTCTAAGTATACCCTCTTGCAGAGCTTATGAGATTTACTGGGTTGAATAACCAGGATAATCAGCTGCATTGGAAAGATCAAGAGGACAGAAAAAATTCATATTGTATTGCTGTCTCACACTTCTAGCTCTGTTTAAGATATAAAGAATTCAGGTTATTGCAAAAGACCTTCAAATGCTTCTTTAAATCTGAAGATTACTCTTATAGACATCAATTTTGCTAATCTGTTAAGCTGACCCAAAGAACGAGAAAACATCCAACTTGTCGAAATAATTGGCGTGGGTTAAATGGCAGTTCTAACTACCTACCTGACAATCTTGAAACAGCCTTGGGGAGCTTCGTATTTTGGCGGCCTTTTGTTTGCTTATCATGGGCGGGATTTTGCTTGGGTGGGCCTGCCATAGCAAAAGAAGCATAGAAAGAGAGAGGCTTAGATGATTTTCAATCAGATAAATGATAAGATTTTGATTCTGAATCAAAAAGCTCGTTATTGACTTTGTCCAAGCCCAGAACAAATACATATCATAAGCTGATAACCGGGTGGCCCTAATAGCTATGTAGCCTAAATTCTGATTGGGAACAGCTTGTGAGTATCTTTTGGACGAAAGAGAGGGAGTAGCGATTGGTCTAATCGGGGATTCGCGTATGCTTAAGCTTAAGTGAGTCATGATACATAAGAAGATGAGAAGTACATCGCGTATTGTTTGTAGGAACAGAATACCTAAAACCAAGGAGGAACCTTTGATTTCTTTTGAATCCTAGTGGAAAACATAAACAACAATATTGAAATGAGAAAGTTTTCATTATGCTATTTCCAGTGCTAGAATCGAGTAAAAATGTATACTAGAATTAGTATCAAATAAAAAATATATCATTGTACTAATCTAGATAATCACAGAACATTGAATTTGTTGATGTGATGTTTATGTGGATGGGAAATGTAAAACAAGAATCGTTTAGCATACAACAGCAACACATTATCCCTAAGAAGTGACAAGAAGTGCCAGGTGAAGGTTTGTCAGATCTTTGTTCTTGGTGATTCTTGAAAAAATTTCTCAAAATGTTTTGCCAAACCACAAATCATAAGTTTCAAAACAAACAATGTTAATTTTAAGACCTCTATTTGTGTGTAAATCTTTTTTTATCAGCTAGATGAATTTTGTTAAACAAATTCCATTCCACAAATTTAGAACCGCTGTTAAATGAGATCTGATTACAAGTTGATATGTTTTTTCGTTTCGAATTTTCAGAATCCATCAAAAGCACGTTATTAAGTGGAAAACGAGCATGAAAATAACTTACTAATGATATAATTGAAAAAGTCTGGAGTACCCTCTTAACCATTGATTAGCTAATTCTAAGCAAATGTGAACAAATGTGGCTTGTATTTATTCAGCCTGTACCAATATGACGTCAAAACAACTAAAGAGCACAAATGAAAAGAGACATATGACCATTGAATAGGGACTAACAGTTACTGTGAAGTTACTTGGCTAGTTCGATCCAACTTTTTTAAGTGGCTTGCACGTGCCTTGATATCAAAATGGGAAACGTTTTCTCTAAATTGCAGGCAGTCGTGAAAAACACTCGAAAAGAAATTCAACACAGATATTATTTATGTTTGAGTTTTTTTCAAATATTCTGCTAGCATCGATGTATTAACATATCATTATACTGACAAAAGACTTGTGTGTCCGTATCCCTTAAACAATTTTTAAAAAGATCATGAACTAGTTACTTGCTATGGGAACCATGTTGGTTGGCAATGAATTGGATAACACTGGGCCTTGGTTACATCATTTGAAGAGCATATAGAATAGTCCTTTTCTATTGAAAACATCAAACATGCAAATTGCCTGTTGTTAGATCATTGGCGTAGCGAAAGTGACCGTAAAATTATGCTGAGAGGGCAGATAGAGAGAACCAGATATCTCTCGGGTTCATATTTTAATGATTTCATTAATTCTTTATCATAGAAAGATTATCTTACAGGTTTGTTTAAATTGACATGGTGTATTATTTTCAGTTCTAAATGAAACGCACGAATTTGCATTGTTTGTTGAACTTTTAGCAAATATCATCCCGAGGGTCTCTGAAATATTCGATTCACGACTCAAGTATTCTAATCAATATTGACAATGAGTGTTATACTTAAGATTAAGTTGGCTAACTATCATGCGTAAAGATTAATATACAAAACTGGCTCTAATTGCACAAACATATTTGAAGCTTTAGGAAGCCTATGTATTACGCCAGATGAAAGTTTATCAAAAATGGGAAAATTACAACATTATGTGCTTTAGATGCAGCTCATATTAATTTAGCAACCAGTAGGGTGCCTGAAAGTGGGTAAAGATATTCTTTGAATGACATCATAGGAAATACAAACCAATTATCAATCAACCAAATAACTCGTGATAGCCGACTATTTTTCGTGACCGTTAGACAATTCGACATATTCTTACCACGCAATATTTGTGGAAGATATTATTATGAAAAGCAGTTATATATATTTATAAATTTTAAATGGCTCTTAAAACAGACAAATGTGTTTTGGCTACTGACTAAGTAGATAACAATATTGGACGGTAAAATGTGTAAGGTGTTATCTATTTTGTTATGACCAGTATTCTGTTTGCTGCACCAGAAAAAGCCTTGGTTCAAGAAACTAAAAATACTCAAACCGTACGCAAACAGAAACCCACACATGTGGTCACCACTTACTGAAATCAGAGTCCTTTGTAATGAGGTACCTCTAGATTATAGCGTGTGGGTTTACAATATAGGATTTAAAGGAAAATTCTTAGAACGGCAAGTTGGTATTGAAATATGACAAAATGATAGTCTACAACACCGGTCTTGGATTTCAAAAACAATCCTGAAGTCCTTGTATCTTTGGTTTCTGAATGCTGAACCATTAACCAGCATCATCAAATACTCAGCTATTCAAACTCCATGCAAAGCCTTAGTTTTCTTCATGACTACCATTTATTTTCTTCGTCAAAGTAGCTTAGTTCTCTTTGCATATTTTTTGTGTCCATCAAAGATTATTTGGCAATCATGGGGTTCTTTTTATCCAAACGAATAAATGAAACCATCTTGACAAGGGCTCTTTAAAAAGGAAAGTGCCGTTTTTCAATGACCTAAAGCAGTGGTGGGCGATGTTATAATGTACTTATTTACTGTACTATGCCCCTTATAATAATGTACTCATATACGCCCATGTAACAGTACTTAGTTTGGATTGAATTGAATTATGAGTTAGTTGCTGATGTGTTCTGTTGCAGTTGAGTTAAAAGTATAAAGAGAGTTTTTTATCTTACATCCTCCTGCGGTAATCTATTACAAATTGGCGACGAGGTAAAACATATTATTCGTTATGAGTGAAGATGAACCTTCTCATTCCATTGTACAAGTACAAATGGCCCAGGCTGTTGCGTTGCAACCTGTCCCAGAATTTCGCCCTGATGCCGAAATTGGAGCCAGTCTCGCGACAAGATGGCGTGATTGGTTATCCGACTTTGAAATGTTTCTTTTGGCCAGTGGTATCATCGATTCGAAACGAAAAAGGGCATTATTACTTTATCAGGCTGGCGCTCGCGTTCGAGAAATTTTTAAGCAGCTACCGGACACGGGAGGAGAGGAAGACTTCGATACGGCGAAGGAAAAACTTCGACAGTATTTTGAGCCGCAAAAGAATCGAAGGTATGAGGTCTACCGATTTCGACAGGCCAAACAAGAGCAATCCGAGACCTTAGACCAATTTCACATGCGTCTCAGAACATTATCTCAAACATGCGAGTTCACTGAGACCGAATTCGAAATAGAGGAGCAGATTATCATCGGGGGAACCTCCTCAAAAATTCGTAAGCAAGCCCTTCGAGATCCGAATTTTAAATTGAAGGACATGTTGCTTGAAGGTCGTCGTGATGAGCAAAGCAGGTTTCAAGCCAAAGAAATCGAATCCAAGGATCCTAACGTGGCTACAACACACATTATTTCAAGAAATTTGCGTGGTAAAAACAACAACAAGAAAACGCTAAAATGTCATAACTGTGGAGGCGTATACCCGCACAAAGGTCCTTGCCCAGCTAGTGGAAAGCAATGCCGCAATTGTGAAAAATTCAACCATTTTGCAAGTGTTTGTAAAGGGAAAAAATCTGCACGATCGTATAGCCAATCTTCGAATTTTTCGTCTAAGGACAAGAAAACAGTTCACCCCCTACGCCATGACACGAGCAGTTCGTCAGAAGAGGATTACTTGTATGCTGTGAACGGAAATCACTCCAAGAGTCCTATTGTGAAAGTCACGGTATGTGATCATTCTTTCAAAGCCACGATAGACACAGGCGCGACAATTAACGTCATCAATTATGAAACCTTTACTAAATTGAATGGTGTAAAATTGCAGAAAACAAACATCAAAGCATTTGCGTTCAATGCAACAAATCCAGTCAAATTCATCGGAAAGTTCATCGCCCTTGTGGAAACCCCCAAAGGACGCATGACCACTGCGACGTTTTACGTTGTACGACCAAGACATTGCAACAACAACAGCAGCTCTAACCTTATTTCATTGCAAACTGCCCAAGATTTAGGCCTTGTAAGCCTACATCTGAACAAAATTACTATCAGCGACACTGATTTGAATAATCTTTTAAACAAACATAGCAAAGTTTTTGATGGCCTAGGATGCTTGCATGGAGAACCAGTCAAACTGAGTATTAATGACAAACACCAACCTAAAGCACAGCCAGTCCGTCGAATTCCGTACCACATGAGGAAAAAAGTAGAAGCTGCCCTACGAGATTTGGAAGAGGAAGGCATAATAGAGCGAATTCCTGAACATGAGGGTACTCCCTGGGTATCCCCTATTGTTGCCGTCCCCAAAAAGGATGGAAAAGTGCGGATATGTGTTGACATGCGCCTTGCAAATGAAGCCATAGAGAGGGTTAGACACCCTATACCGACAGTCGATGATGTTCGATTTGAGCTAAATGGAGCAAAGTTTTTTACAAAACTGGATTTGCAGCAGGCTTACCATCAATTGCCACTTCATGAGAGCAGTCGATCTATCACCACATTCAACACACATGTTGGCCTTTTCCGTTATCAACGACTGGCCTATGGCATAAATGCTTCAGCAGAAATATTTCAGTATGCTCTACAAACCCAGTTACAAGGACTTAATGGCGTAAAAAACATCGCTGACGACATCCTAGTTTATGGAAAAACCCGTGCTGAGCATGATGCAAATTTGGAAAAGTGTTTACAACGCCTTGAAAACAGAGGACTAACACTCAATTATGGAAAGTGTAAATTTTTGAGCACCACACTTGACTTCTTTGGCCAAATTTTTAGTAAGGATGGCACTTGTCCAGATCCAAAACACATAAAGGATGTTGTGGATGCCCCTGTACCAAAAAATGTTCATGAAGTACGCAGCTTACTAGGCATGGCAAATTACAGCAGCCGCTACATTGCAAATTTTGCTACACTTACAGCACCTCTACGCGACTTGACAAAGAAGAATGCTCAATTTCAGTGGACTGATGCTCATCAATTAGCTTTTATTCAACTTAAGGATGCACTTACGTCAGCACCCTGTATGGCCTACTTTGACAAGGATAAAGAAACTTCATTACTTGTCGATGCAAGCCCAGTTGGAATTTCTGCAATCCTATCGCAGAAGCCAAGAAATTCCACTCAAGCTCCACAAGTCGTCGCATATGCAAGCCGCTCGTTAACTGCAGTTGAGCAGCGTTATTCACAAACCGAAAAAGAAGCATTGGCCATTGTATGGTCCATCGAACATTTTCATCTGTTTTTGTATGGAGCAGAATTTACCTTAATCACTGATCACAAGCCCTTAGAAATTATTTATGGTCGCAAGAACTCACGACCATCTGCACGCATAGAGAGATGGGTATTACGACTTCAGTCTTACTCATTTAAAGTTATCTACAAGTCTGGAGCTGACAATCCTGCAGACTTTCTATCCAGACACCCTTCACATGTCGCTATTGACTGTCATCATGACACAGAAGAGTACATCAACTTCATAGTGAGCAACAGTGTTCCAAAAGCGATGACACTTAAGGAGATATCCGATGCTACTAATGAAGACAGAGTTCTAAAGGGACTTCGTGCAGCCATTCGTTCCAATCGCTGGAACACTGACAATGTTGAAAAATATCGACCATTTAAAGATGAACTCGTCATAAGTACAAACAACATTATATTGAGAGGATCAAGGATAATACTTCCAGAAAGTCTACAGAAGCGAGCGATTGACATTGCCCACGAAACACACCAAGGACTATCAAGAACCAAAGCGCTACTACGAGAAAAGGTATGGTTTTTCGGGATAGAGGAACTTGTTAAAAAAACGATAGATTCCTGTCTTGCATGCCAAACTGTGAGTCGATCATCTCCACCAGAACCAATTCAACCGTCTGCTATGCCAGAAGAACCATGGCACACAGTACATGTTGATTTCTATGGACCACTGCCATCTAATGATTATCTACTTGTCGTAATCGATCGTTACTCACGTTATCCTGAAGTAGAGGTTATTCGTTCAACGAAAGCCTCTGCTGTGATTCCAAAACTTGACAAAATATTTGCTACCCACGGTATTCCACTAATATTAAAGTCGGACAATGGCCCACCGTTTAGCAGTGATGAATTTGCCAGATACCTGAAAGCATTAGGAATTACACACAATCCTGTTACACCCTGCTGGCCCCAGGCCAACGGTGTTGTTGAACGCTTTAATCAGCCTTTGAGTAAGACACTCCAAACAGCAGTTGTGGAAGGGAGGATATGGAGGCAAGAGCTTAATCGATTCTTGCTGCAGTATCGCACCACTCCACACACTGTCACAAAGGTTGCGCCATGCGAGTTATTGTTTAATCGGAAGGTACATGGAAAACTTCCCATTATTGACAACAAATTGGTGATAGACAGACACAAAGAAGCCAGGGAAAACGAAGAAAAGAGCCAAAATTACCATAAACAGTATGCAGACAACAGAAGAAATGCTACAAAAAGCACGATTATAGTTGGCGATACAGTAATTGTCAAACAACAACGAAGAAACAAGCTGTCTACACGGTTTAATGAAACTCCATATACCGTTATCAGCAGAAAAGGCACTCGTGTAGTTGCAGAAAATGGTAAAGGACATCGAATTACCAGAAACGTGTCACATTTCAAGAAGTTCAATGCAGACAAAGTTAATCTTGCAGATGAAAGAAGTACAGATTCAGAAGATGAAGAATACAGATCAAGAACAGGAAATAATGATGGCAAAGAGAAAGAGCAAGTGCAGGAAAATGAAGCCCAACAAGAAAGGCCAAGAAGACAACGACGTCCACCAGTAAGGTTTGGTTATCCAATTCCTTCACAGCTGGTAAAATGAACATTAACAAACAATTTTCTTGATTGACATTTACGTTCTAATTTGTTTACATACATATTTACTCTTTTAAAAAGGGGAGGTGATGTTATAATGTACTTATTTACTGTACTATGCCCCTTATAATAATGTACTCATATACGCCCATGTAACAGTACTTAGTTTGGATTGAATTGAATTATGAGTTAGTTGCTGATGTGTTCTGTTGCAGTTGAGTTAAAAGTATAAAGAGAGTTTTTTATCTTACATCCTCCTGCGGTAATCTATTACAGGCGATTGATTTTCAAAAGGGGCTACATGAGAAACCTGAATCATGCCGGAGGGCCAAACCAAGGATAACTTTTTTCTGTCCAATTACTTTCTCCCAATGCAATAAATAATACCATACAGATATAGATGTTGCATACATTTATTAAAACATGAGATTGTGGTGCAGGTCAAGTGTGAAAATATGTGTCTTCAAAAGTTCATTTTCTGATTGACCTAACAGTCACGCGGGCTGGACAGGGACGTCCAAAGGGCCGGACGTGGCTTGCGGGCTGTAAGATACCCTTCTCTGGCCTAGAGCATTGAGGGTGACAATGAGTGGGAATTTTGAACTGTATGATTCCTTTTCTTCGGCAATGTTGACAGACTTGCTCAGATAGTTGAGCACAGGCTCACATAACGCAAACAATGAAAAAAGACAAAGTCTGCTCCATACGAATATTTCATAATTTATCTTTGATGATTATTAGCGTTAATAATACGGTACACCGATAATACAGATACAAATGCGCGAATTTTCCATTACGAAATCTTTGGTCGTATCCCGATGGACTCTAATTATTACAATTTACTTATTTTCACAGTGTATAAATATTCAAAATGAAGGGATGGCTGCCCAGAAACACAGAGACTACCAGCTTCTGCCTTCCTTGTTTGGACCTAAAGCCACAAAATAGGCAGTTACGGCCTCATGATTAAACTAAGTGCGTATATTGCCCTCGGAAAAATTGCTTCTGGTCGATAAAGAGGGAGGCTTTGTGGGTTTTAGTACTACTCGAGTGGATGTTCAAAACCACATCATTGATAATAAGTTAAAACGTGACGTCAAAAATGGTTATGAGCAAAAAAGGATTGAAACATTGACATTTCCTTGAAGAAACTAAGGTACCTGGTGCTACAGATATGGCACTAAAGTATCTGGAACTTGGGCTGTAATTCCTTTTGATTAACCGAATGTGAATGCAAATCCTATTCACCGAGTGTGAATAGGGTTGGTACAAGGGTGAACTCTAACACCATTCCTACTTACAGCTATAGCTTTCCCATTTTGTTTGATGTACAAGGAAAAAGGTGGGGTCACAACTTTACGTAAAGACCATGCAAAATATATTTGATGCTAAAACCCAGCTGAAGTAATTTACATGTTTGTTTTTTCTAACGCTCAAAAGTTTGTAACGTCTGCAATGCATAACGATGTCAAAAAGAAAAACAACCTCAAAGAAGCAGCTCCTGATTTATACATTTTGGGTAAAAATATCAATGTCCCATCGTAAAGAAAATGGATCGGTTTTTGTTGAAGAAAGATGCCAGGGGACTATTGATTGACGAAATCTTCATTGTATGGAAAAAACTCACGTCAACCTGGACGATAGTATCGAGCTAATAAAACACCATGACCACGACATAATAAAGATTCCAATGGTCGGTAGCTATATCTTGGAACATCTTTTTGTAAATTCTTTGATCAAAATGCGATTTCCTAAATGTTGAACGTTAATGTGATCGCTATGCAATGAGATCGGAAACTATTCTAAAAGCAAGCAAGCATCAAAATGACGACTAAACACGGGATTATCAGGGATATAAATGCACCTTCGCATTTTCCTGATATATCCCATAGAGTTGAGGTGAACAATTCACTTTTGCAACACAAGTAGTTGAATTTGTTCTTGGAAAGGCTGCTGGCGCTGACATATTAAGATTATCTTTACACAACTACTCTGTCTAATTTTTATTTTACATTATTTCTGGTCATACACTCCCGTCTTGTTCGCACGATGAATTCAAGGAAACTAAAGGGAAATTGACCCTGAGCCAAACGTTTAGGCCTCTTCACTTGTAGAGGTAGTCTTGGGCTCCATTTCAATGTTCGCTTCACAGAATCACGTAAGTTCATCAAATTTCAGTAGGTATTTCATCAATATCTGACTTGGCGTACCTCGTTCGTGCTGGACAATCCCTGAGATTTCATGCCTACTCGAATGAATAGCCGAGTGGTCGCTCTTCCCTGCACACGAATCGGTGGTTGCGGCTGGCTTCGTATCGCCTCATTACCTCTGCAGGATTCCGATCGCAATGCACCTATTTATTTGCAGGCGCAACTCACGACTACCATGTCCTCCTTTTTCTGGTAGACTACTCGATCGTTTGTGTCTAAATATAGCATTGCTATGCTTTTTAGTTTATCGGGCACGCAACAAGCCGGTTTCATGAACTGTGAGTTCATGCTGCTAATAGTACTTTGGATAACGGCGTGACTTGTTGGATTCAAGTGCCCTGGAATAGGGAAAGCGCAGCTTCCACGGCAGTAAAATGCCTCGTAGCCTTTTGGTGCAATTATCCAGTTTGTCCATCCGAAATCATCGAAATTCACATACATTTTGCGCCTTCTGCATAAAGCTTTGTTTCGCCGTCTTGAGTGGCTTTTTCGATCTTTCCTTCGACCCCGTCGCGCACCTCGTTTCGTTCGCCCTTTTAAAAACTGCTCTTCCTCGTTTTTCTTTGTTTTATCGTTGGAAAACATAACAACTAGGCCGTTTTCTTTGTCTTTTCGACCCATTTTGTTGAAACCAATTTCATCAGGCGAAACGATGTTGCCATTACTTCTATCGACAACGTACGCCGCAAGCTTCATAACACCGATATTTTTGTCCTTTAGAAGCTGTGAAAACTTGGCAATTTTGTCGAATGAGATCCACTTTGGGGTTGGCATCGTAAGATCGAAAATGTGAGTTGCCAAGCGCATAATCTTTAACCGTTTCGAGACCGTCGAGTTTGTCTTGAACTCGTTGGCATCAGGTAAAATACCAAGTAAGACTAATTGATAGGATTTTCTCTGGTTGAAGTTTCGCCATCGTCGAAACCTTGACGCAACTTTGAAGGGACTCCAGAGTAACCGAAATTCGCATCCAAGCAGTTCTTCTTCTTTCGGCAACCCAGAGATGTCGAAATGATATATTTGATGGAGTATTCGAAAAAGTGACTCCTTGTTTTTATCTGCAATGAGAAATAAGTTTACTTTAGAACTTTTATTGAGCAAAGAGTTTATCCAATTGTAATTATAAAAAATATCCACAGCTGGAAAATGCAGTACCCATAACTGTTGATTGCAACAACAAGAAAAAACAACAAGTTTAACAATTAAGACTAACAAGGTTGCCAAGATAAAGTGCCCCCCACACACATTACCAAGCACTTATGTCAACCCCCACCCCCTTTAGCTCCTGTTCCTTGGAAAGCTTTAAATTCTTTGCGTTGGACTTCACGTTTTTGACGTTTCAACAACTACTATCCCTGTGGAAAGCGATCTCAAAAAGGTCTCTGTGGCTTCCCCTCTGACTTAATCAAGAAGGCTGGCGATTAAACTTTCTGTCCCATCGCTGACCATGGCTATGGTAAATTTCCTTGCGTTTTGTTCTAAGGTGGTTTCGTTTTCACATAAGGCAATGATAACTCCATAATGACGAAACACTTTTTATAAACACGCCTCTCGCAAAGGTGGCAATCTCACGGGCTATATCGAATATATCGAAGCAACTAGACAGCAATTTTCTTGATTCTCACTAATTCTAGCTTGCATCTTGTCGTATATTTTTCATAGCAGAATGGAATTTTGCCAGGAACAGAGTATGAATTAAGGGGTTATTTGCAAGGAGACTAATTTAACTCGACGTTTAACTACCTTGAACGACAACATATCAAAAACCTTTAAGACTTCTGGCTTTTGTTATTACAAACGATTGCAAAAATGTAATGATTTATAATGAAGAATTTACATTAAAAGTTATTCTATACATTAAATGTTTACTATGTTAAGAAGGTTAAAATATTGCATCTTAACCTTGATTATTGAGCTAATTGCCCCTAGCAAAAAAGATTCCTTTTTAATTCCATTCAAATCTAAATTCAACACTTCTAATTAAAAGAGCATGACAATAAGAAATCCATCCTAGTTCTAACCAAGATTCACTAATGAAATACCCAATGATTAGAAAGAGCAGGCTTTAGGTTCAGTTCACTAGCCTCAAGGTCGTTCTGACACAGAAACCCTTGAATGCAGAACTAGAAATGCTCCTCTGGTTTTCGATAGTACGGTCTATCAATCTTTTGTGCTGAACATATCTATTAACTACAAGTTTTTAAATCACAGAACCTTTTTTGCCTTGATGTTCATTAAATTTTTGATATTGAGCCTAAGTTTATTCCTAAATTTCTCTTAATTGAAACCATCGAATGAGAAAATATTTATCTTGGGTATGTTTGATATTTTCCCCAGAAAATTACATTATTTTCAAAAATAACTTGTGAAAAAAGTTCATAAATAGTAGAGACTTTGATTATTTTTAAATTACTTTGATAACTTCGAATTATATACTAGGCAAAAATATGTCTGGGGACGAAATTTTAAGAGTGAATTTTATTTGATCGTGTGCTAAAAGCGAACTATTTTAGCGGTAACAGATACTAATTTGAAGGAAATCGTTTCGGATTCATCCATTTTAAGCATGGAAGAGCTTACAGTTACGAAAGAGGAAGTCAAAATCAGGTAAGCATTCAACGTATCCAGCCCCGGAAGCTTCTGAGTGCCCGGTGTTGTTACTGTTACAAAACAAGAGTGAAGGTGCCTGACATGGCCTAAACTACGAGAGGGGGTCGGGGGATAGAGGGGTGGCACCCCTCTTGGAAATAAAAATTTCATTGTAAAAACAAGGAGTCTTTTGAGATTTAGGGATGCTTCTTCGGCAAGTTTTCAGATTTGTCAGCAAATAAAGGATGACTTGCCTACTTTGTCGTTAAATGAGTTTGGAGCATACCACGCTCTTAAGCTCCATGGCTAGGCGACAGCCCTGGTGCCTTATTTGAAAGAGAGAGAGAGCGAGAGAGGAATCTTTCGTTAGAAGGGTCAAACAAGAGAATCTGAAGGTGACACAATGCTGATTTGTAAAACTGCCTTCTACTTACAGCACACTATAATTAGGATCATCTGCAAGGGTATTACAGAGAAGTGAAGATTTGATGCAGGTCGCGAAGACGGGGCGAGATTGCATTCTGTTCTTAAATAGGAGGGCACAATCAGTTTAACAACTCGGCAGAGGATTGCTTGACAAGATAACACAAGCCTATGGCATTCACAAACAAGATTGCCCGAATGTGAAATTTGGTCAATGACAAGCTCTAGCAAGGGTGTTTATTTCCCAATATTGGTCAGGCACTTGAAATAAATACGCCTCTTGAGAATAGCTCGTGTGGCGAAAAATGTAAATAAACAACTGTTAAAACATACCATTGAGTATGGCAATAAAGAAGAGGGATAATCAGGAATGTACTACATCATGATGATTATTATGAACAATCTGTAATGATTATGATGATATTGCCAATGATGTTTACTAATGAAAATTACTATTGCTGTAGAAAAATACCTATTTTGTGCGTGCCAGACGGTCATCGCAGGTTAGACGATGTATACGTATAGATGCCTCTTAATTCATCCCAATTCCGATTTGAATCGCACAATTAAAGACAAGGCGTGGTTAGTCCCTTCTGACGCACAAATCTCTGCTGGCATATTGGTTATAGGCAATGCATAGGCATTTGCACAATTCAGGGGAAATTTTTGACCTTGCTCATATGACGCTTGTTTTGTATATTGACTTAATTTGCGAAAGGGCGGCTTGCCAAGTGCTAAAACAAACGCGCGGTGAACCCAGCAAGGCAGGAAATTCTTGCACAAATTTGATATGGCGTTGCAAGCTTCAAACCGGTAGTTCTGACATTGCTAGATTATCCAGAGAGATCGGTGTTTCATTCACCGCATGAATAAGCAAGGGAAAATCGCAGCAAGGCCTAGTCCACTTATATACGAAAACAGGGACAAATGACTTGGTCAAATTCAGTAGATATCTATATGACGTCGCTCTTCTCTTTCCAAACGCATACGTAAATATCCCAGTTAATACATGCACATAAATTAAAATCGTGGCAACCCACTAAGCTTTGTGTTAGCATAAAATTTTATCTTGCCCGCAACATCGCACCGATGAAAGAGGAAATGCACACCGTAAGCCCTAGAAAAGATTGCGTTATTTACAGCTGCCAGTTTGTTTGATTGCAATGAAGAGATAAATAGGCACTGCAATGTATGTGAACAGTGTATGAATTGAAAATTTGATTTTAACCCTATCGGCGTAAATTTGGAAGTGAGGTACCGCTCAGCGATGTCGGTAGGGGCTTCAAACTTGAAACAGGTGTTCGATGATTGATATCATGAAATACTTTACGATCTTTTCGCCGCTTTTTATATGTAAATAAAGCCTTCGCTGCAATGCTTTAAATTTCAATGAAATATGATTTTTCATACGAATCATATTATGAAACAAACATGGAGATGTTCCGAAAACATAACTTCAAGGAGAGACCAGATGTCAATTATGGGGTTTCGTTAATAGGAAAGCAATGTTTGGGTAGCTTTTTGACAATTAAATATCTCAAAAGGCACGATGACAGCTGAAATTATGATTCAAGATTTATGGAAGACCTCCAGACCGACGAGATTTGTCTGTTTTGCTTTTCAAATAAGTCGACCCAGCGCACACAGTGTCTCATGATGTCACGCTAAACCAATATGCGGTAATTCAGCCGCGCGGTACGAAAAATTGCCGCGCAAGAATGGCGGACAAATACTGATATTGATAGTGATAATGTGAGAAATTAATAGTCTTAACTTTTCATTTATTTTGAATACTGAATCAAGTTTCAAAAATGAAAATAAAACGCGACAAAATGATCGTATTTCATAATTTATCATTTTTTTGCGTAATGCTTTCAATATTCTGGCCAGTTGAATATTCACAGGTTGAAATATTGCCAAAACTGGCAAGCACGCTTACTTTTACCAATTTATTACCAGTATTGACACGAGGGAGACAAGTTTGCTTAGGGCACTTTGAATGAGCCAAAAAATTAGCGATGGTAAAAAGTTCACTAAAAAAGAGATATAAGAAAGACAAAGCATATATTGTAAGATTTAGTCCGATGGTAACAAAAATCTTTCGTAGCATGCTTAGGCTGCAAAAACAAGCAAAACCACTCAAGCCCACTCTTTTCTTGGTAAAGAAAAAAATTTGAAAAAAGCAAAAGAATTATCGACCAAATGTATTTAGGGAAATCAATAGTTGAACGGATCAGTCTTTATGTGATGCCACAAGTGTGTCATGGACTCCTATTGTGAATTAAGTGACTAAATTTTGTATCATTCGTCTAAAAGCACCGATGAAAGTATTGGTTTAACAAAAAGTTTTTCAAACTTTAGCTTCCAACTCATTGGTGTAATTGCCCTACAGAGCGAGAGCAGCAAACAGCCTGTCGACATTAAAGTGTTATAAAGCAACACACTTCGATGATGTCGACTTCTCATAGTGGTTTTCATGCCATTCATAGAAAGTCTGTGCCACGGTGAAAGACCAGGGAAACGTTATATATGTGGGATTCTTCGTGAAAATTGTCGTAAAACTTTCGTTTCGAAACAAATGGCCGTTTCTGAAGAGTTCCCAGGCTGTGTTTTTGACGAAAAAGCAAAACAAATAGACACGGTATAGACATGGAATAGACATTTTATTTCTCTAAATCTCCGTTGAATGAAAAATGGCTAATGAGCCTTCTTTTTCTTCACGCAAACAGCCTTTTAAGTGGAAAATTATAAACAATTAAGGACATAATACGGAGAAATGCATGGCTACTAACACTTAAGATTGAAGTCCTATTGCACAGTGAATGTGTGGGTAGATTAAGGGATTGAAGCACTAATGATGGTTTCAAACAAAATGATTCGGTAAACTTGAGCACATGTGTATGTCTCATTGAAACGACTAATCCCAAAGTGAACAACATCTTAAGTGCTAGATCCGAGTAATCAAACAAACCAAGGGCCTGATCTCCGCAGATCGTGACTTAGCAAAGATAAGTGCTACCTCAAGATTAAAAATTCAATTTCCGATTTCAAAGGTAAATAGAAAGAATATTCTTGGCTTTACGCAACGGATAGCATAGCAGATTGAAAAGGAAATAATAGATATTTTGGTATGGTACATCTTGTGACTGTTATGATGTGCGCTGGCTGGCAAGACAGCGTAAAGAGAGGTTTCAAGTTAGAAGAAAGAGGTTCAAGTTGGAATTTTAAAGATATATAGCGGAAGTATAAGAATTGAGCACACCTATTGCGAATCTTCAAAATATATCTGATCATTTCTTGGGCCAGTTAAGTACCAATGAAAATATCTAAAGGAATATGAAAATAGACTGCTATGAATGACAGAATATGGCAATCTGTCTAGTCTAGTCAATTGACAGGAATTGTAAATAAATGGTGGCTAAAGAGTGACGTGTCATTTACAGGACTTGAGAGATTTGAGGGTATACTTGTGTTAGACTATTGACCTTATGACCAGGTCAAGAGGTAGAGTTTGTGAATAAAGATAGTTGACAGGCAGAGAGCAACTCGAAGCAAAACGATTAAAATAAATCCAACTAGTTAATAGCAATCGGAAAAGGCCTTTTAATAACAAGGCTGTTGCTTTCGTAGTTTGACAATGTTAAATTTTTTTTCAAATAAAGCGAATGAAGTGACTTCTAAGCTAGAAAAAGGCTTCACGTCGTAAATATTCGAACTGTTAGAGAGGTGAATGACTGACCTTGCAAGTCATCCATAGAGGTTGAATATAGATGTTTAACATTAGTGCGGTGAAAAGTACCGTTTTTGCTTGTTAATCCAACAGAAACCACACTATGCCATTTTTCGTAGCCAATGATAAAGTGCCAAGAAACAATTTAGGCCAACTTTTGGACGGAAATGAGCTTATGGTTTCGTGGCACAATGAGTGTTTGCCAAGTGTAAGGCTGTGTTACAACAAAAAGATAAGGAAGAAACTCAAATGACAGCGAATACACTCTTTTTTATAAGAAACTGGCTATAAGAAACGAGTATTGGACAGTCAGAAAAAATTAAGAAACTTCAGTACTCGAAGCAAAAATATTGAGAAACTATTAAATCGTGATAAAACTGAGAACAACGAAATTTTGCAAAATCAAAGAACATGATTGCCCTGATGGCCTAGAAATCAAGACACAAGGGATAAAAATATACTTCCCGCGTCTAAATACAGCGTCAGAATGGAAGCGAATCTCTTGACGTGGAAAAAAGGTGACAAACATTTCATAACATCATTCATGACATCATAATTAAGAAACTCTTAAGAAACAGTGAGTATTGAAATTTCCAGAACATTAAGAAATTGGAGTACTCAACATCGATCTTTGTTTTTTATAAAAAAAATGAGTGTAGCTTGTCAAAGCACCTGACTCAGCTTGATGTTGTTATTAAGCAAAGCTTTTTTCTTTAAAAGAGTTGGGCCTACACTGGCCTACATAGATTCTTTTCTGAATCGAAACAGTAATGAAATAAGAAACATTTTCTTATCCGTTCAAAAACCAGGCCTTCGATAAACTTAGCTTTTAGAACTAAAGATTATACAAGATTAAATATATCATACGAATATAGCATAAGCATTTTGATAGTGGGTCTGGTAATGGAAAATTTTGACGGCGATTTCGAGATTTTCACCAAAGATTTTGAGATGGCTCCTCCACAGCAAAAGCTGCAAGGGATCCAAGAAGTGAATTTATACGGTGAATTAGCAATGGTCAACTTAACTTGTGTTCGTACAAAATTGGCAGATTTACGGATCAACAAAAAGATATTTTTAATAATTAAGACGTGAATTATATAAATTGTGGTCGGTTTTTCCCAAAAAACAACGTGATGTTTCAAGCAGATGTACGTCTCCAGACAATTCAAATGTTAAGGATTATGGAAGGGTTATTAAACGACGTACAAAGCCTCAGCAACTGACTTCACTTTTACTTCTGGTTTCCTGTCATAAAATTATCAAGTCTTTCAAAACACATTAGGAGTTGTTTGTCATCTTCCCACACCCTCTATCCCATACTTCATAATTTTATTGGAAATAATGAGCTTAAAGCATTGTAGGATTCCAGCCATGAAATTGCACAAAATATCACCCACAAAAGGGGTGGCGTTTTCAATAATTTTAAATTACATGTTAAATTACATTATGTCATGACCACCAAGGAAATCGTCTGTTATGACATTTGTAGTATTTTCAAACTTGCAATTAGCCCAATTGCATCCAGCATGTTAGATGTGCAACAGCAACAACAGCACTGGTTAGGAAATCACAACATGAAAGCGAGAAGGAAATGTGATAATGGAAGAGAAAGGTGAAGGAAAAAAAGGGCAGGATGTGAGCATGGCAGAAAAAGGTGAAGGAGAAAAAAGTGAAAGAGAAAAAGGACTGTCATTGCAAGAAGGTTGTACAAAGTATCACCAAAAATATTATAAAAACCATTCTACCATCGACTAAAACACCACCCCCCCCCCTCTCTTCAGTGTTATTTCTTGTCAACATACGAAAGCAATTAGGATTAGGTTTGAAGCCAAAGCAAGTGGGATTTGTCTATTACGCAATATTTCCAATGTCCTGTCAAATTGCTGAGTAAGGAGGCTTAGGAAAGACTGACGTCATCAGCCTCACATGAGCTATGGCAGCATGACTCATTACAACAGAATTTTAGGTATCGAAAAGTAACAGATATAATGAAACCGGAAAGTGGTAGAAAAAGTTTTTTTGATATCAGAGTGCTTTGAATGGCAAATCGGGTTTGGCTATATGGTGATGCTGTTGTGTTGGTGTCGGTATGCAGTACTGCCGATGTCTCACGCAGCTCTTCTGGATAGGTGGAATTATTGAGCTGAGAAGTGATATAAATAGGATGAAGTAGTTTACGTGGCCCTTATCTTAAATCTGATTTGCTGAAAATTGCCAAATAGTGATATTTTGAAAAAGGGACTAAAATTGGTAGTAAGGAAAACTTAATTAAAGCTAGAAGAAAAAGCGATTTACCAAGTAGCAAAAAACCTATATCCTTAGGCATGCAACTGATGCTTGTGCAAGATTAAATCTCTTGTGCAGAAGAAATAAGTTTTAAGACCCTTTTGCTGATGCAACGTACAAAATTCATGCCATTTCCAAGAAACGTTTCAGGAACTCGTCTTAGCCTTCCCCATTTTCAAAGAAAATACCGTTTTAAAGTAAAGTATGGCATTAACATAAATTGACACTGATTTACACTTCGAGCATATATTTAAAAAATGTTTGTATATAAGATATTAATGTATCCTCACACAAAAGTATGAAACGGACGTTTTAAGATTGCAAAAAAGCCGTGCTTGCAGTCTTGGGTGAACACGTGCCTTGGATCTTGTGGAATCGCAGTAAAAAGAGCTGGTAGAAATACTTTGCTGATCCTTAGATCTTAATCAAAACCAGGTGTCAATTTTACTCAGGAAATGCGGTAAGTGTGAGAATAAAGTCCTATGCTAGGTGACGATTTGATTCGGGAACTGGTGTTTTAATGTCAAGATCTATCCACCGAATATTTCAAAAGATATCGCTTCAGCTCTCCTATCTGTCTGTTAACAAAGTTTTGTGAATGGTTTGCTCGACTGGACACTCGACTCGCCTACTTCTAACAAATTTCCCTATTCTTGTTACCCGGTCTAACAGAATAACGGTAGCTATTAAGACAAATGCCTGCGCTTTCAACGTGTTAAACTCTCGCCCCAGGATTCGAGTCTCAAATACTTGAATTTCAAAAACTGGGCTTTTTGTCTGTGGTGATTCAGGAGCTGTTAGAAATTCTGAACCACTAGGAGATGATAATAACCGAACTTTCAAGCACATAGTAATTAAATCCCTAAGACCAATGCGACATTTTTTCATTCATTAATTCCCATGAAAGCTAAACGATCACGTCACAATCCTGACATTAAATACAGAAATTCTTATAGCAACAAGAATTTGCCAATGGAAAGAAAAATAATTAGACTTAATATAAGTCTCACAATGATATAAAGGTTAGTCGAGCCACAGTATTAAGGAAGGAAAAATGCGTTTGAGAATGAGTCTGAAGATGGTTCGCTTTCCAGCCTCAAAAGGCGTCGAGACTACGTTCACTCGAAAACCACCATCAATAAACATGACAGCAATATCCACATCAATTACATTTTAAACATCTTTGTATTTTATCGTTTTACAATCTTTTTGGTGGATATTGCAATCTAAATTTTAAACGATTTAGTTCTCTGGAGTGGGAAATCCATTTACTCTGAATTTGGTTTTAAGTGAATAAATATGTAGATACCGCAACGCGAGAAATATTACACTGGAAGTGATCGTGTGCCTTGTGGATCGAAAGATTTGCTTCTAAATCCATGCTATAGTTAATTCACTGGCTGACTTCCTAGCGGTTCCTAACTGTCAGAAATCTTTCTCACGATATTTTAGCAAAGTCGATATTCATAAGTTTGTCTTGCAGTTTTCGATATTCATAAGTTTGAATGTCGCTCAGAAGCTTAAGGTTTCAATTCTACGGAGAGCCCTTGATTTGAAATTGACTGATTGGGTTGCTTAATGCGTTCTGAGGCATTCATGAAAAGGCTACACTACTGTGACTAATGTTGGGGAAATAGATAGATGAACCTAGAAATGAACCTAAGTATATTTGGTAAAAAAGGATCAAACTAAACATATGACTGATACAGTTTACAAAATTTTGTACATTTTCAGGACAGCTGAATTTTGAATGATTAGTGCAAACTTACCGGTGTCCATTATTCCACGCACGGTGTTAATTTTGGTTCTTCGCGCCACATCACCATCGCCGCTCAACAGCGAGTAAACCTCGATCATGTAATCGTGCGGTGTGAACGATTTGGATGGTTTTCGCTTCATGTCCATTCCAAACGAACGCAGCAGACTTTCTTGCGTCATATCAATGAGAGTCCTTGTGATGTTTTCTTCTGCAGGACGGTAATGTCTTGGGCTAAATGTTCCTGCTGTCCAAATACATGTAAAGTATGTCATTAATGGCAAAAGTGAAACAACAAAAGGGTGTTTTTGCCCTGCCATTATTGAAGATTTTAACAGCTTGTGCAGCACCAGTGACCAGAATCACAGCAGCTAGTGCCAACCAGTTCCAAATAGCTCCAAATGAAAAGAGACGAGATTGGAACAAAAATGTTACAGATGACTAAATCCTCCTTAGATTTTGATTATAAATCCGATATTCTTAAGATATCAGCTAAATAAGTAACTTTAAAGAACTGCTCAGATTATAGCAAATATTTTACACACTTCTTCCAACTGGGTCTTGATCAGCAAGGTTCGATGATAGAGAAATCGTTTATGCGCCCGACAACTTTGAGGCTCTTTTGAACAGAACTGGTCAATATCTGCGATTTTTATACTGGCCCACGTTGGTAGCACAAAATCCCACTGTATTGTGCCTTTATATGTGCTTTCCAGGGTCAAGTTAATCAAATCTCGGAATCCTTTGTTATTCGTACACAAAATCCATTGTATGTTCTAAATTGCTCCACCTTCTAGCATCTAAATCGCGAGATGACGGGTGTCATTCAAAACCACATTCATATCCCTGATTTGTTTCAAATAACCAATTGTTTACTATAAGACGAAAACGCAATTTCTCAAGCAAAAATTCTAATTTCTCTCCTTCCACAAAAGTATGTTGCGTTTGTGTGATGTGAAACCGTTCTATTGAAGAGTGTGCGTCGAACAACCCAGTCCAGTGACCTACCACTAGTGTTGAGAACGTGTTGACGCTATCCGCACCAAGTGTTAAACCTTCAGGATGGCGAGAAAATTAAAAAGCTATGCACCCTGTGATTGGCCAACAGGGATCCCGGATCGTCCACTAAGAACCTTACTAAAAATCGGACCACAAATCAAGGAAGAGAAGCTTATATGTCATATAGCGAAGAATTGTGAAGTTTCCTTTCGATAAATCGCCAAAAATAATTAAGTAAAAACATTATGAAGAAACAGTGTAGAACAAAATGAAAAAAAATACTTTTCCAATATATAAATGTAATGATTCTGCACAAGAAGAAACTATGTATAAAGTGAACAATCAACACGAAAGTTGGACCTCCGGATCCACAGAAAGTGATTGAGAACGATGTACTGTAATCAATCAATTCTTTTAGAAAGTTATTATATTATATTATATTATATTATATTATATTATATTATATTATATTATATTATATTATATTATATTTATATGATATTATATTATATATTTATATTATATTTTATTATATTATATTATATTATATTATATTATATTTTGATCTTTATATTAATTATATTATATTATATCTATATTATATATATTATATTATATTATATATATTATATTATATATATTATTATTATATTATATTATATTATTATATCATTATTATTATTATATATATATTTAAATTATATTATATTATATTATTGTAATTATATTATATTATATTATATTATATTATATCATATTATATTATATTATATTATATTATATTATATTATATTATATTACATCATATTATATTACATCATATTATATTTTAGTATTGTATTGCATCATATTAAATCATATTACATTAAATTACATGTGATAGAGCAAACCGAATATATTGTTGGCAATGATGTTCTTAGACAACTTTCTTTCTGAAAAGAAAAATGTCCAACATTCATGTTTTCTTGATGAAAGATGAATTTAGATGAAATCCAGGAACAGCAAAATAGATAGGGTCTATAAACTTTCGATGGCCATTCCATTAAAACCGTCTGCAACACACCTATATCTTCTTTTTTCATACACATTCCGTACTGAAATTTTATGTCAATTGAAAGCTTTTGCGATCATCATATTCCGTTCTCAAAAGAATTTTTGTAAAATTATTTCTCGTCTTACTTTTCACGAACTTCATCTAGCATGTGAAGAAATAACTTGGTTGTAACTGTTGTTGCCTTTTTTTTTTAACATTCACCTTTACAGGGCCATAAGCTTGAAAAACCTCAAAAAACCAACTCAGGAACCTCAGCCCAAAAAGCCCTTTATTGCCCGTGGCTATTGTTTGATCCAATATTTATTCGAACTTTTCTTTTCAGAGTGGAATTGCGAATAAGAGCATCAAAAAGGTCGTTTGTCCTGTATTGGCTCAGAAACCTGAGGTAAAGAAAATAGGGATCTGTATCAGCAAAACTAGTCAAATTGCAGGATATAGCTCTTCCATCGCAAATTTGCATGCAGAGATTCAATACCACAAATTATTTCGACTATTCCTTAGTAACACTAGTGGTTAAGTTTCAGCAATTTATAAACAGTTTTTTAAGAACATAATCAAAAATATAATCTTATCATTATATTTGTTAAATATAATTACGGAGTAGATATTAGTGTGATTAAATGATTGGTTTTCCTTTTGATTGCGTATGTAGGAAATGCCCTGACGAGAGAATTTACAAAACATGCTCTTTTGCCGGAACTTTTTCACTGTAGAAAACTGCGTCGATTGCGGACAGTAATAACTGTCCAAGTGTGCTAAAAATAGGAGAAATCGCTATAGAAGAGAGAAAGCGAGAAGGCGCATTAAGAGCAATACAAAGGTACGCTGTTTCTCGGTTGTGAATGCAGGCTTATTCTGATCAATAGCAGTGTTTAGCAAAACCATTGCAGGCAGATCAAGAGTACTGAGACACATAACAAGGCAACTGTTTAGGTCTAACGGAAAAATTCTAACAGTATTTCCGGCAAGATTTTGTCAATAGTGGCTTGCGGCACTTTATACTCTTTGGATTTCACAAGGTGTATATTGAAACATCGATCTATTCACTGTATTGTTCCTTATTGAAACTTATGCAACGATGCAGACAAATTCTGATCCAGGTACTTCACTGAATAGGCTAACGTCCCTTGTGAGCATGAATTATCTGCAAAATGGTAGTTTAGACTTCAAGCAAGCTGCAAAATAGCATACATCTGGAAAACTGGGTCATGATGTATTAGAATATAGCAGAATCATGTCGTTTAAACAAATGATTGTAACATTAAATTTAGATAGCTAGTTTTACCAAAATGACTGCTTTTCAGGTATATATTTGCAGATATGAGTATAAGAGTAAAAGAATAACCCAACAAGATGGAACTCGTTGAGTGAGATAATCAAAACTTTCCAAAAATAGTAAAATTGTTACCCTATCATGGCTGGCTGGCTTAAAAGAGAGGACAACACTAAACACTAAAAAATGAATAAATGGCTGGCAAAGGATAGAAAGCTAACTGTTTACTCGAAAATTGAAGTAATTATACATATGCAGTAAAGAGGAAGTCGTGTGGGTCCATTATGGTAGAGTGTATAAGATGTTGATCAGTTTATATCTAAAATGGAGAATAAGTTGAGTAATGTTGAATCTAAAATGACGTGATCTGTTCTGCGATTTCATAAGTAAAAAACGGATTTTTGGAAAAACCGAATTACAGAGTATGGGAATAAAAAATGTTTCATTTTGCTTTTGTAGTTGTTGAACTGTAAAAATGATGATTTAAAAGAAGTCCACATATTTGAATGGTTTGAAAAGTTGGGCTAGTGGATATTTTTCCAGAGGCTTCATCCTAGCTTCTTGCCCTTGCGTTGCCTGGGTACCAGACCATCTCTTTCACTGAGGGTAGCGCTTGCGATAACAATTGCCCAGCATTTGTTGCAGAATGACCTTGGACCAAAATGATAACTTTGAGACCTTTCTTCGTTGGCTTTGTTGGTGTAAATACATTTACAAAATATAGATTAAGTCGTTTAACTATCAATCTTTTATTTATCCACAATATATTATTTTCCCACGTTAATCCTGTCAGATGAGACTGACTTGCCATCACGACGCCATTTTAGAGTAACATTCTCTTGTATATAAAATCTGTGTTTACTGTAACGAATTAGCTGGCAATGGTTAGAAAACTGAAACAATCGAAGGATCAGCAGAGATTAGTAATTCAAAGGGTTTTTTGCGCCCGCATAATAGTGTGATGTGGTGTTTATGTTAATTTAACTAGCCCTGTGCTTAAGTTTCATGAGAATCAACCATTGAGAACACCAAGCCGGATAATTTACCACTCAAGAAATAAGAAGTAGATTTTGTTTTTGAAAGTTGTGTTGAATAACAGCCAATACCTTAAGGTAAAGAATAGTAAAAGGCAGAGACGAGAGAAAGAATATAAGATAAAATTGATTTCAAGTCACCAATTTGCAATAGCTAAGAAATTGAACACCAAAGCAGCAATGAGGGCAAAAGATAAATCGAGAAAAAGCTTTACATTTTTACAAGCAACTTTAACGGATCTATTCTAAATCAACCCTTAATCCCAGTTTCATATTACTTGGAAGTCTTTCAAAAAATTTTTTTTTTGAAGTAAGCAGTTACTGCTGAAATGGTCATAAAGGAGGCTAACAACGCCATTTCAAAACCGCACCTCCCACGAACAAGGGTATCAAAATTTTCGCCATTAAGTCAAATGCTTTCTTGGTTTTCAAAATTTAAATCAAAGCAATCAAGGTATTTCAGCAAAAACACCACAGAGATTCGTATCCAACATGATCACAAATCACGTGCTAACTGATACACAAGCAGCCACAAAATGGTTGCCATGATTTTCGTGCATTGCTGATCTTATTTTCAAAGTTCTAATGATAACCACAGATATGGATTGGCTTTATCTTTATTCAAATGTCGCACCAATGCATTAGTTTCAGGAAAGCATTATGAATTTCCGATACTTTAATCTTAAGCCTCTCTTAACTTTCCAATTAACATTTTATATCTATAATAGTATTCCTGTCTGTGCTTTGGACTTGCACTTTTTCTTCCAGACCAGCACAATCTAAGTCTCTTACGGATGCACGATTCAACGAAATCTTAGTAGGCCCTACCATGGTTATATTTAGTTAATGAAAATGAGAGCAAAACAATACATTTTAAAACATCGTGCAAATTCCTCGACCTAGGCTCTTACGATCGTTTAACAAATCAAAATTTTATGAAACATTTCATAACTTGGCTCTTCGATTCCTTGATTTTGTTCATGAGTTACTTAAACAATTTTATATTACCTACTTCTTATATTGCCTTAAATAGGCCTAACTTCTTTAGCGTGCCCATCAATTATCCGACAAGAATTTGCGTCCTTAAAAATCATATTTGCCTGAAGGGGTGTTGATATTATTATCATGAAATTTTTTTCCAGTGATCTGATTATCTGAGATCTCATAACATATTGTTTGCGCCTTGTATAGATGAAAAGGGAAACCCATCTTTACCAATCTGCCCGATCAATCAAGAAAGTTACAAACGACTGTAGGTTTTGCATGTTCATCATTTGGCTTAAAATTTTTATTCCATAAAACCAGTTTTGTTTAAGATTTGCACATTAAACTTTGAAATGAATGGAAGTGAAAAGATCGTTGCTACAGATTGGCTCTGAATCAGAATCCACGACTGTTTATATACATCTAAGCAAACGATTACATCATGATCTGCAAATAAGCCGTGCTTTCCTGGTCTAAATCTTTTGAAATATATCTTAATCAAGGTCCCTCTTTCAATATCATCCATGATGGAATTAAATTCTTTAAAGCGAGCAATTTGACACCTATTTTGGCGAAGGAAACGCCTTTCGCCTCCCGTTTAGCTAGTACAAGGTTCTTAGCGCTCTTGGCCGGCTGGCTTTGAAACGAGAACACCCATATTTCGCTTGGGTGTCCTTAAACGGATTTCGCACAAATCGGTGCATCCTTCACGGAGCT